TTACTATGTTCCCTGCCTCCACGCTTCTTCATCTTTCGATCGCGCATCGGGACTGTCGCTGATGCGTTGTCTCCCCATAGGCTACATTGGCGAGTTCGAGATTGTTGATGATCACCGTTCGGGCAAGATCGTGATCCAGCTGAACGGTCGCCTGAACAAGACCGGCGTTATCTCCCCGCGCTACAACGTCCAGGTCAACCAAATTGAGACTTGGGTCAACTTGCTTCTTCCCGCTCGTGGTTTCGGTATCATTATCCTCGTGCGTTGCATTCTGAAGTCCTTGCACAACATGTCGTATCAACTAATTATATCCCTCTGTTTCCTCAGACGACCTCGTCGGGTATCCTCGACCACGAGGAGGCGCGTCGCAAGAACGTTGGTGGCAAGCTTTTGGGCTATGTTTACTAGATGTATCCATGTATTCTCTCCATGGTTTGTGTAGGTAAACCCCATCAAAATGAGCAGGCCGACAGGGCCAACATGCAAATCCGCATGCATCTCGCTATGCGCGCTCGAACTGAGGACGGGCAATAACTCCGTTTGTTGACCGTCGCTTTCTGTTCAGGAAGGCTTGAGCCGCTTCTCTTCCGCCTATCAAAAAGGAACTTCGCGCGCTTCGAGCGTCAAATGCGGACACCGTTGCGTAGCAGACGCTACATTTCTCCCTACCACTGACCGTCATCTGCTGACTCCGTCGTTGTTCGGGCAAACGCCATCTTTGAGCATAATGAGCTTGGGAGTACAATGCAGTATTCCAGACCAGTATGAGGACTCCTCTTGACGTGAACTTCATATCCTAGGCGACCTGCTGGTAGCTTCCATGTCGTGAGATGATTGTGCCGTCTCATCCTGTGTATTGTAGGTGAGCGGAGAACACATCGATATTATGACCGTACAGCTAATCATTACGAGAATTTTCTCATCCAAGTCTCCTTGTGATCACAATGTAGACTCCGATCCCGTACCTTCCGCTAATGGGCGCCAATGTTAATCTCTTAAAGACTTTAAAGTTAGCCACTATTCGCATCGTTCTTGTTCCTCGCTTACAAGGCAATTGTGGTGTCAGCCGATTCACAAGGCCATCGAATATGTGAGTTCATGTGTATTTGTGTTGAGGTGGGAGACTTGAAGGCTGTTTCGTTCACATACAGTCTCCTAGCGTTTACCTTTCACGACTTTGCCGCCGACGCCGACATAAGTTCGGCATACTTCGCGGTCTCGGTGCGCGGCGATTTCTTAGATTGCCTCCGGAGGACCCTGGGAGTGTGCGAGCACGAGCCACGCACACGAGGCATCGTGGAGGCGGTCGATCATCCTTGTCTGTGAGGCAAACTAGGCAACGCCCCACAACACAGCCTTACTAGATCCGCCCCTACAGAGGGCAGCATTGCGTATCGAGATCGGCAAGTTTCGTAGTATTTAGTCAGCCAATGCGCTATTGGGAGTGTGTCTATTCTTCTACTCTTATAGCACACTTGAGCCACTCACGGTCGTTGCTGTCCTAGACGTGTTGTGAGCTATGAGCGGTCCACCGACACAAGTGCCCCCATGTGTACCCGACGACATCCACTATCCTGAGGGTCATCGGTATACGCCTCGAACGGAATATCACGTTCGTCTCTGCATAGACTCGTGAACATAGCTCGCTTACTGATACATCTACGTCGCGCAGCCAGGAGACCGAGTAATCGTCTGGACATCCGATAGAACGAACTCGATGGCAAAGTGGCATCACAGTGTTGTTCTAGATAGGGAGCCTCGTGAAGAGGTGCGTGTACACAATACGTTCATCTCCATAGTCTGCGTGGCACTGACTGTTACTGTTTCCATTTGTAAACCATCCCATACAGAACAATGGAATGAAGTCGTATCCAGCGGCTCTGCCAGGACCCAACGCCATAGGATGGTTCAATCCTGAGAAGAACGAAATCCTATACGATAATCTACTCAGCCAGAAAAACCCTCGACAACGTTGATTGTTTGTAGTCCGTTACGACGGTCTTTCAAGTTGCATTGTAATTGTATGTATCGTAATTGTATGTATCATTCCCGAGGCGCATCGTTATGCTATTGTTTCGTGCTCATGTTTCAGTATACCTTCCGCTTTCTGTATGCCTCTGTTCCTTGTCGGCTTAGCTGATAGGCTCGGCGCCGCAGATCCATCGCGATCTCCGTCCTCAATAGACCAATAGACTGCAGGTGCGTTTCGAAGGTAGCATTTGTACAGTAAATCAGTGACAATTTTCCCCCTCAGACTCATTGTCCTTGGATACACGTGGTCTGTGCATGCCCCTCTACGGTCAAAATCCGCACAGTGGAAGAAGTGGAAGATTTGCTGGTTCCGAAAGGTGTGTGACCCTGCTTTGATTCAAACCTTGTCTGACCCTCGTAGGGGTTCAATGATCCGGGCTTCATTTCCACCGCTTAGACTGTACATGTCGTATGCTTCTTTGGAGACGTAAGAATTGCAAACTACCTGTACTGCTGGTGGTTGAGGTATGCGGAAGTCCCACTGCCCACATCAGTATATCCTCCCTCAATGTCGCGTGACGGGTATTATGCAACAAGGAAGTGGGGTCCTGCGGTGCCTTTTATCAAGGTCGGGTATGTCTAAGTCGTGCGCCGCTTACGACCTCCTCAGAGTCGCTCAAATTACCATGCGTCTTCACTGATTGACGGGATGGCTTCACGGTTGCTTGAGTTATCTCGTATCTTACAGCTTTGCACTTACCTCATGTCACCATGTGGAATCCTGCGCCAGTCTGCTTTGATCCCGAAGGCACCGTCCTGTTCAACAAGCGAAAGCAACGAAGCGCTCCAAACATCCAGAGACAAAGGTAAGCGTGAGAGTTGGAACACCACTGGCCGACCCCCAAAGCCAAGTCCACCACGCTCTACTGTTACGCTTGTATCCCCGTAGAGAAGGGTTAAAAGATTACATATTGCGCCGTACCCGCCTCTCTACCAGCGCAATCAACGTCTGCTTGCAGTTCGGTATGTTGTCTCACCCACCCTCACGCCGTCCGACTTTGACTTGTAGGAACTCAGGCAACTAAATGTATTTACTGAGACGTTCGGCAAGATGCCTCAGTACATGTGTGCTCCGCCTGCTACCTTGCTGAAGCGTGCGGCTGCGAGGCAATGGATTCCTCAACGGCTCTTCGAGGTAGGTTCCGTGATTATAGCTGCTACGACAATCATATATATTACAATTGATTGGAATAGCCCGGAGATTAAGTGCAGACGTTTGACAAGACGAACTTGGCAAGTGGGTATCGGGCGTCATCGCTGTTAACCATGACCCTCCCAGCTTCTGTGAGGTGCGGTTGTGAATGCTGTCAATGGTCCGAGATGCGTTCTGATGTTGTACCACAAAATTCTCCGGGAAACAGGCTGCTGGGAATACCTAGTGATAATGGATCGAGCCATCGAACAGTGTCGCCACCTGATTTGGTTCGAAGAGAAGGAGCTCATGGGATATAACTGATTTTCTCGTGCACCACCTTGCGGTCATTTCAGTGCCTTATGTTATAATTGTACTACCCCTATGAGCATGATGAGATCCTATAAGCTGCATGCCTGGCCTTACTTGGTACTACTTCTGTACATCATGGCTACTTACCGCCCGGGGCCCCTTGCCGCCGTTGAGTATACCATATTTGGCGACGGTTCCAGTGGAAGCACGGCGTCCTCTTTTGGCGCCCAGACTTCGCCCACAACTTGCTGCTGGCAGTAATTGCCATGACTCTACTCGTCGCGGTCCAGACACAAGACTGCCTCTGTGGTCTGGCAGGAGGTCGCAGCTCGACGTAGATCGAGGATCATGTAAGCCGTTTCGTATCTTTTCAATCACTTGCTCAACTAACTGGTAAGTATAGATGAACATGTTTGAACCGCACTCGCAGCACCAGCGCACAAGGAAATGGCTTATTTGGAGCATTTCGGTCGACCGCTGTTGCCTTTCGGGCGAATGAGGAGGGAAGCGTACCGGTATCAGGAGCAGCCGCTGTCGGATCACATCGAGAACCTGAACCGCTATCTCCTGATCGCGCGGTCACTCATCCCCAAGAACCCAGCCCTCGGTCGTCTCTGCATCCGCAATCCCGACCTACAGCGCGGCAATATCATTGGTTCGAGGTCGCCCGACTCCACCTGGCGCGTCGACGATATACTTCCTTCGCTCTGCTTTTCTTCGACTCACTTAGGTCGTCAAAATCCTTCGGGAGCGGAGGCTGCGTCATATATTGAGAGATAGGATCATCGTATTTCTGAAAGCGTTGGGGAAGACCGGCAAGAAGAAACAGGGGAAGGATCGGGGCGTGTTGCCAGTCCTGGGAGACCCTTACGGGTGGAGACGCGCCATATCCTGTTGTGATTGACGCCGCGGACGTACGCAAGACGATAAAGCCCGATGAAGAACAGAGAGAAGCGGACGAAATTATGGAGGGATTGCGGAACGGCATCGGCTGCGGGTCGGACGGCTGGGTACCCACCGAGCGGTACGAGGAAGTCATGGCACTCAGAAAATAGATGAAGGAGCATGCGTTGACGATAGCCACGCCGGAGGAACGTCCTGAGATCGTTGGGCACTGGCCCATGGACGACATGGATGAAGAGCCATACATGTAGCTCGTCGAGTACAAAGGTGCGGTCGGAGGAATCGAAGAATGTAGAGTGTGTACGCTCGCCCTCATTCGCTTGACGTTGACAGCGGCACCTGGACCCCCGGACTCCTGTTCTCACATCAAAGTCTACGGTCCAATGAAACCGGAGACGAGTCTCGAAAGAAGACGCTGGAAACTCCCTCGCCATCGTACGTTCCCATGCGACTGCCACATAGCTTTTTGTACAGCCGATTTCGTGAACGAGGCTTTCTCTACATGTAGCGCTCGCATCACATGTAAGGCGAAAGCAGGAAGTTGTATGTCACGACTGTCCAGTGTGGTCAAAACCCGAGAGGCATCGGCTTGGACCGTGCTTGGACCAATATGGCATGATCTATCATGTCACGCAATCCGGTGGCCATCGGCCTCCCGTTCACCATCGCGCCGTCCGCTCCACATGAAACTGTCTGTCACGGGTAAGCTTCTGTCCTAGGCACGCCACTGCCTCCACATCCTGGTGGTAGAGATGATACAGGTAGGGGTGTTGCCTAAATTGCAGTCGTTGAGACAGCGCTCATAGTTTATCTAGCCACCTCCGAATGCCACGGGCAGGGCCTCCTCAATAATGTTCCGAGCAGTCTACCTCATCAGTACTGGTACGATTGGGCTGCGATATTGCATCACTTCGGGCCGGTGGGAGCTGTCGGCTACGTGGAGAGTTCATAAGCCTCTGATAAAGCACTTCCTGCGCAACCGGCTTGCAAGCTCTCCTCCCTTGACAAAGGCCCACAACTTAGGAAGAAGCTCAGAATGTCAGACTATACAGACGTCCAGGACGACATATTTGACGCGAAGTATGTGCCAAGTTCTCCCACATAGTATCTGCACTCTGACACCCGTGATTAGCTGGGATGAGCTCATGAATCAATGCTCGGCCGCCATGCTTGGTGCGTTCCTGATTGGAGCAGATGGCCTCCCAACTTCTCTACTAGCAGGTCTAAGACTATTTCTAGCACTGTTTGTCTACGACTTCCTCATCACCTTTGACGACGAAGTCAACTTGTTTTGGCTGCCTCGACGGCTCAACGGACCCTCGATCCTGTTCCTACTGAACCGGTACCTCGCTCAGACTGTCCAGATATATGGCTGGATGCCAATGCCCACAACATCTGAGGTACGTCCCAACCCACACACTCACTCGTACAATGCTCAATATTGCCGTAGGGGTATGATCGCTTTGACTGGCCCTGATGTCTAAAGCTGAGATAGACTTCTGATACAGCTTCGATCCCTCGCTCACCGCTGGCTCTGTGATCGCGTCACTGCAATACATTCCTTGGGCAGGTGCGTGGACTAGTTTCAATGGCATGTATAAGGGCTCAGTATTCGCAAATAGTATAGCATTCTCAGCCCTCAGATCATACGCCTTGTGCCCATCACCATACAGAACAGCCATTTCGATTGTCGTCTTTGCTCTTTTCTCATTCCCTGTTGTAGTGGGTGTGATTGTGCGTACCCGAATCCGTGTCCTTACGCTGCTGGCAACCCTCTGACAGAGATTCCGTTGTCAGAATCAAATTCCAATCATCCCACTATCAGCGAGCGCATATGACATGTGAGTGAACTGTACGCACAGCTTATGCGACACCATCTGATGCTCTCCATGATAGATGTGGGTCCATACATCATGACGTTGCCAGGCTGGTCGACTAATATAGTAGAATATGATAACCTTTTCACAGTATCTGTCGCGGTCTGTTCTTCTCTGATCGGAGCCGAACTCATTGTTCTATGCATCACCTGGTACCGGACACGGGAGACTATCAAGATGTCCAAGCGCAACATGGCTGGCCAAGATAGACAATCCTTTGCAAGTACCCTTCTCCGCGATGGTGGGTCGTATCATCGACTGTTTCCTGTTTCCGAACTTGTTCAAGCATTCTGTGTGATGACATAGGGACGATTTACTTCTTGTAGGTGTCAGCGGCTGTCTACGATTCTGAAATCCTTCACATCACATATGAACTACAGGACATTGCTAATAGTAAACAGTTTCTACATCGCTATCACTCTACCCTCGGTAAGCTCCGTAGGAAAGCCGGTCAGGATTCTCGACATTGTATTCTCTCAAACCTCTCTCGGCGGAGGGCGAGTCAGATCCCCTTTCATAATGCCCAATATCTCACTGAATGTGGGCTGGCTACGCAAAACAGCTCCTCAATTAGTACTCCTGTGGGAACGTACGTGATGATTCAATCCCGGTACTCGAGGAGGGTGCTGTAACATTCTCCCCAGCCTAACCTCGATCCTCATCTCGAGGTTTCTGATCGACCTGCAAAAGGTGAAGCGCAGGTTAGAGGGATCATCTCGGTCGCTGTCAGAGCTCGCGTTCCGGTCTCACGCGTCACAAGACATGGACGGTTTCATCGGATCCCTCGGAGCCCAGCTCCCATTTTTTGATGATCAGTTCAACGAGGACGAAGATCAGCCTTAGTCGGAGCCGTTTGATGCGCGTCTGGGTACCTAAGCATCTGTGGTTTTCCTTTACGGTAGCTCAGTTTGTAAAGCGGAGACGCACTTTCGCTCCCCATGTGAACACTGGGACTCCTAGCCATCCGGTATATACAGTATACAACAATAGAACAGGCGAGTCGGTCGAGGAACGGAAGCTGCTGTGCCCGACTGCGTCGAACAGCCGGGCTTAGCTGCCGTACTACAGATGAGCCCGACGGCTGCCGAATCCCATCCGAATAGCCAATCCTCTCCATCGCGTCCAGTTCAGTCAGTATGCACCTCTCAACGCCACTCTCGATGGGGACGACATATTCATGATTGAGATGGATGAATGGGCGTGCCAGTGGTGGCCTGTTCGGATACAGCTTCCACCCACCATGCACGAACACAGCCACGTACTCGTCCGTCGCCTCAATACGGTACCCTGTGCCTTGGTCCACTCACTGGAGGGTGGCCTTTTGAAGTTCAGTTGTTGTTCGGGACCCATATACTTGAATAACAGGGCAGGGATGCTATAGTGGTATGCATCAATCCTGACCCACAAGATGAGGACAGCCCTACAGACAGATGTAAGCATCTTCATGTCGTCGAACGTCTCGCCGCAATCTGGACACCACAAGAGCCTGCGATACTTCGTCTTTCCTCGGGCCATGTTGAATGCCATCATAACAGAGTAGGAGCAACCGAGATGACTGCACGAACTCAGCAGCTTGCAGTGGAACGCTACCGCAGTACACCCTGCATTAGGTTTATTTCCATGCCTCAAAGGGCTAGCCAGCGGGGTTTCCCAAGCCGCCCCGCACGATAGACGAGCACGAGGGCAGCATGCCGCAGCACATGTCACCCAGCAACTTCAAAATGGAGGATCGTGACCTAGAGTGCGGATATGTGCCACGACAACGCCTAACGTCATTGGATCAGGGCATTCTCGAGTGGGACGCTCTCGACATGAACTTCCTGACCCCATGATAGGGCTACAGGGGCGGAGAAGAAGGCGGATGGAGATGAACAAACGACCTCTTGCCGGAGACTTAACCCCTGCTAAGTTGTGCGGAGCCAGAGAATAGATGAGATAGCTGGGGTCTGAAGCCGAAGGAGCATGCCGACGAACATCCGAGAGGGTGCGGAGACGAGAGGCGCAAGGGACCGGACACGGAGTACGTGTGCGTGGCACCGAGAGAACGAAAGCCAAGACTGACAAAACTTGAAGAGACCGCTGGTGCCTGGATATCATGTATGTGCTGTTGTAGACGCCCGTTCGTCGGGCCGTGAGAAACATACATGTTGATGCGCGTCGGAAACAATATTCCTGTGCTTGTGTGTGCGTCCGCAGAGTCTCATGGCGGGAGACTTCATCCATCGGCACGCTTTCTGGGACAGGAAGATATGATAGCTCGCACCCCATATAGCTATACACAAGAGCCGCAATTGTGTTGTCGGCTTACGGATACTATCAATGCCTGTGGAAAGACAAACAATGTCGATTAGTAGTAAGCGCCACTCCACTAGCAGCCTTCTCATTCAATTGACCATGATTCGTGTGGTATGAGGCATACACGAGTGCTGAAGCACAGGGGTGCGTTTTTTTTCCATCTAGGCGGCGAGACACAAGCTCATGAATGCAGGACGGTGCCCGCCCGTCCCAAACATAGGGCCACGCTAAACGGTGGAGCAGTCTGGCCAGGAGGCATGTTGGGAAGCGGGTAAACTGAAGTCATTGACTGTTGAACGTATTCTGTCCACCGCCTAAGGGGAGGAACTGACGAACTGGGACTAGTTCTGCGTCAAAATGTCGATGAGAACGGACGATATGACGATCGATACGCTACCCAGGAATAGGGACGGGGTCGCCTACATTGGCAAATATCGGTAAATACAGGAAATCGCGGAAGGAGAACCCCAGTTGGCTGATCAGATTTGCTGATCGGTCTGTCAGCTCGAATGAGGCTGACATAAACGATTAAGGTGAGTTCAGCTTAGAATGACGCACTCTGCTGTATCTTACGATACCTCTGATGTGAACTATCGTCACTGGCAGACCTCCAAGGGAAGACAGAGTCTGGGCACCGCCCACTTAGCAGGCACGCCGAGCATCAGTGCCTCTATCGATTATCGCAGGCGGTTCCTCCTGAGCGCCGTCGTCTTCTGAAGCGAGAAGAACGAGCTGCGATTGAATTACTGACTATTCGGGCAGGAGACGTACGATCTATCAGCTGGAGTCGTATGTTTTCCGGATGCGAACAATAGCGGCTGACCGTGCCAACCTCGAGGTTGGCACAAATCAAACAATCCAGCGGCGTCCGCAACAGAGCGCCTGTGGTGGTATAAACAGCCGCCATTCCGTCCTTTCCCTCCTTCCTCACGACCACCACCGTCTCTGCTGTCAACCACCTACATCTCCCGCCGCCACCATGGTTCGCTTACACGCCGAGTACCTTCTCTCTCAGGCCTTGCCGCCCACCGAGGGTAGTTAGCATGGGTCCCGACGACCATGGGTATTCTTCTCTCCTACCTCGCCGTTCTATCCTAGCTCATCGCCATCAACCACTCACTGCGCCATAGACCACTCACAGCGTCGGAGACCCAGGTGCGCTCGACGTCAATAGTAAGTCCATCACGTCCCTCTTTGCACTATGCCACATGTTGACTGTGGCGGTGGTTAGGTTCGACGCGTGCCATTCCGGGCAACAGCGGCCATCTAGCCTGTTCACCCGGGCCGCACACCTCTTCACTGGGGTGTAGCCACCAATACGGGTCGAGCGGGTGATTGCGCCCAGGCATCGGTGCTCCGCTGCTGCGACGTCTTCCTGACAGTGCGCGTAAGCCGGGGTGCACTCGGGACGAGTACCTCTCCGTCTTCACGGCGGCGGTAGGGAAAGGACGGATGCCATAACCTGGAACGTGACTCGTAAAGCGTCACGGGTAGACGACGTACGCGCCACCGCCGACTGTCCTACATGGAAGTCGTGCAACGGCGTCGCGTCGTCTGCGGAGTGCTGCCTTGAGATGGTACGTCGTCCTCTTCGTTCTTCGTCTACTAGTATGCTCACTTCTCTCTGGAAGTCCCCGACCTGTCCCCCCATTGCGCGACGCGACAACAGGCGACGGTCAAGGTAAGGAGTGTGCAGCGGTTAGTGGACTAGAAGCAACCACTTTTCGGCGCGTCCGCACCCGCACCCGCACCCGCATTGCGGGGCACCTCCACCAGACGTCAACTGCTGTGATCTGCAGTTGGGGCTGGGGCGTCGTGAGTTGTGGGGTATTCAGCGCAGGTGAGTTCTTCGTCCCATCTCATCAGGCTGATATACTCTGTCCAGATATAAGACAGACGGCCTTTCCCTCGCCCACGCTGTCCCCGCAGTTCGAAGTGAGTCTCTTCTTCTTCATCTCTTCTCGTCATCATGCTCATTCGAGGTGACAGATGCGGGCGTCGAGGCTTGAGCTCGCCTTGCCCCACCCTATGCCCGGTTGACCGCCCCGTCTTTAGACGGGGGTCCTGCGCACGGCGTGCCTCGCATACGGGCTCACCTCAAGACCTCGCCGTATCCTCGGATCCGTCCGGGGATGGACGGCATTGTGCAAGACTAGAAGAGGCTTCGAGGGCGCAACTTGCCCTCGATTCAAGACGCCGCCCCGAGGTACGGTCGTCTCTTGCGTAGAAGCATGGACGTGCCTGGTGCAGGCCTCTTCGTGGCCCTCGGGACTAGTACCGCTCTTGCGGGAAGCTAACGTGCACCGAAAAAGGTGCTGAGAGTTCAGACGCTATCGTTGTTCAATTGTGGGTGCATGTAATGTCTCGGTTTTATGTAATTAGGGGTACAGCTGAATCATAAAGCTTGAAGTTCTTTCCCTGTCGTGATGGCTTTCGGGGTTGACATGCATGACTTCAGCGCTGAGATCGTCCTATAAAACGGCAAGCGAAGTGATAATTTGTGCAAATGCTATCAAAACACCCTAGCTCTGATGCTGTTTGGGATCAAACCATTCTCGAACCTCGTCTCCTGCGGCTTCGACATCGTTGTCAACCATCCCGCGTTTGGGCAGAACCTCGCAGTTCACTTGAATATAGGCTATCAGATCGGTGTCGCTTTCGCTGAAGACGACTCGCTCGACCCTGTCATTCTGCACAGCACGCGACTCATTGCGCAGGCTTAAATGGAAACCTTCCAAGGGCTCCGTCACACTTCCTTCCGCACCTCCTTTTGACCCACCTGTGAATGATCCAGCCTTCCTGAACTCGACGTCCGATGGCTACCTCATGGGGGGCGCCATACGCGCTGCTGTGCGTTTCGTTTCTAAAAAGACGCAGGACGGCTTCGTTACGGGACAAGCAAACGGCTTCGCGAATGTGGACCTGGACGAGGATAAGGATGTTGATGCGTAGGCACGGTCATGATCGTCTACGATATTCCATCCGATGGGCAGTGCTCGGATGGGAAGCTGTGGCGATACGGAGGACAGCATAGTCGACTCCGACCCGAGAGTGAAAGGAACATCAAGACTGGGGATCGTTGTCGCTAGCATTCTCGCGAGGACCATCTAATAGCCCTGCAATAATAGTATCATTTACTGATCGCGTCTAGCCATTTATTCCGCCAGTACATCAACAGACGATGGTCTGCGCGTTCGCGGAATGCGCAGCAGAATTGATCAAGGACGGAGGAGTGTACTGCTGAAGGACGATCCAGGCTCCTTGTCTTTCGTTCAGAGACATTTGCGTAGCGCTCCATTAGTGAGAGAATCTCGAGCTATACTTATGTACATGATTAAAGTCCATCATATGTAACCCACATAACACGTTTGCGGGGTGGGTCCGGAGTCTAATCGAACAATCATTCTTGAATGAACTATGGCAGAGTTAGATGCTGAATGTCGCGGCAAGGATGATCCAGAGAAAGCATACCTTCTGTGCCTCGCTTTCTGGCATAGCCGACTTGCCTCCTGCCTTTGAAGCTTCTGGAGATGAAATGAAGCTCAGTGGCCGCCCAACCTGGCGGACCTTGTCCCAGAACGCCTTGTTTCCGGGCTCCTTCTCGAGACACGTTTCCCGGAGATCCTGGATGAAACTAAAGGAGGCATTCAGTATCTTCCCCATAGTCGTTCACGTGCCTGGTACGCACGTATTCCAAGCTTCAATCTCATCCTCCTGGGAATCCCGTCAATGTACCGGACCATGAATCAGATATGAACTACAAGTACCTCAAGAGAGACTTTTCTGAGCTCTTGCATGCACTCGATTAGCTCATCGTATCGTCTTGTCGAGAACGGCCGGGTGAGGATCTCTTGGATCACCCACGCAAGGTCCTCCACCGCCTTCGTCACAACGTCCCCTCGCGAGATGTTCTTCTTGAAGTCTTCCAAGGGGAACGACAGCCCGATGATCCGCCCAGGCATCCTCTGCCGGTCAATGATCGGGTCAGGGGACACCGACCGCGCAGGCGTCGGCAGAGGCCCACGGTCCCTGTCAGGCTTCCTCGCAGGCGTCTGCTTGTCGAGCAGGAGCTCCTCCGCCTCTTCCTCCGTCTCGCTGCTGCCGACGTCCATCGCAGCCGCCTTCTTCTGCGTGCGCGACGGACTTGTCTGGGTCTGAGTCTGGGAGCCGTACTGCGACCGCGCCTCCGTGTTCTTCTTCGACGACGGGCTGCCCCGCGCGGGCTTCTGGTCGAGCAGGAGCATGTCCTCGTCTTCGTCGGGTGCGCGGACGTGCTCGTCCTTGCGCACGCGCGCGACCTTCTTGGGCACCTCGCGGACCTTGAGCGTCTTCTTGCACTCCTCGATGGCGGTGCGTGCGCGCTTGAGGACGCGCCGCGGGGGGTCCATGTATTTGAGCAGTTCGGGATGGGGCGGGGGGAGCGGGTGGGTGTTGAGGTCTTGGACGATCGCGCTGTGGAAGAGCGCTTGTTTCGTGCGGTGGATGGCCGGGTTGTAAGATAGGCGGGTGTCAAACCAGGGTTCGCGGTTGCTGCGTGAGGGATGTTAGCACGGATGAGAGAGCTGCGGACGGGGGGGTCTCACCCTTCCTCGTCTTTCTCGCCTGCGTCGGAGAGGTCCATGGCGTCTACGAACTGCTCCATCGCATCCATCTGCTCGTTGGTTGGCAGGTATGGGTGCTCTGTTACGACTTCGCCTTTCTTGTTGATGAGCGTCTCGAGGGATGCAAAGGGGAAGTTGCGGATATCGTCTGCGAAAGGCATCTGTTCTGAACGTCAATCTCGACCGAGAGTGTCAGGACGGCATTCAGGGAGCCACAGACCTGTACCCATAACAAGCAATCCACCTCTTCGAACACCGAAGGGTAGAGGACGCCCATCTTCGGATCCATGTCATCCTTGCTCACCCACCGGGCGATCGCCATGACGCCCTTTTCATACATCGCCTGCACAATGCTCGACAGCGCGACCTGCTGCATCGGGTTCGCAGGGTCCGCCCAGACGTAGTACACCTCGCCCATCTCGAGCTCGCGCCGGAAGTTCTTCTTCTGGAAGAAGCCGCAGATGTCGATGCCCTTGCGCGTGTGCAGTCGCGGGTAGCCCCCGTCGGCGACGGGCAGGAACGTCGCGCCATACTTGTACCCGCGCACGAGCTCCTCCTTCTGCACCTTGACGAGGTTCTTGAGGTCGTCCTTTTCCTTCTTCTCCTCTCCGTCGCCGTCGACGGAGCCTTCCGGGTCTGGGTCTGGTTCTGGGTCTGCGTCCGCGTCCTCTCGCTTCGCACCAGCCTTGCTGCCTTTGTTCTGCTCGAGGTAGTACGCCGTGCGCATGCGCAGCTGAACGAACGTCATCGTCTGCTCATCCTCGTCCATTGCGTCCTTGTGTTTCTCTTTGTCCTTGCCTGCTGCAAGGGGCTTCCGGCGCCCGAAGCGCTTCCAGGACTTGGGGCGCGCGAGCGCGGTGCACTTGCTCGTCTTGACGCTGATCTCGATCGCCTCCTCGGGGCGTACTTGCGTGTCCCCGATCCGGAGGACGGTGCCCATGAGCGTAGACTTGACCTGGCGGACGTCGGGGCGGGAGATTTCTTGCAGGGCGTAGTCGCAGTTGCCGACGACGCCGGCGTGGAGCTTGGAGGTGAAGGTGCGGTAGAAGGCTTCGTTCTTTTGCTGTTGGACGGTGGCGGAGCGTTAGTGTGAGTGCGGTGTTGCAAGTCGGGGAGTGGTACCTTGATGTTGCTCTTGTCTTCTTCGTGGAAGGGCAGGTCGTCGTCGTCGAAGTCAACGCCTCTGCGGCGCCACAGTGAGTAGCAGGCACTAGCTGAGCAAGGGTGTGACCCACACCACCGTGAGGCTGATATCCAACGCGTTCATCTTATTGACGGTGGCTTCCCAATCCTCGACTTCTATGGGGCTCTCGCCGTCGGTCAGTATGACAACTTTGCGTGTCCACGTCTTCTTGTTGCCGAGGTATTGGTCTTGGGTCTCGATAGCTACAATAAGAGCGTCGATGGCTGCGGGCAGAAGTCAGTCTCCGTTCGTATGCCGAGCAAGTGCACATACGGTCCCCAGAGACGGTCGACGGCTCGAGTGCGGCGAGCTTGGCCAGGGTAGCCGAGTTGGGCTGGGCGATGGGGATGTACTCCGCGACATGTTCGTAGCCACCGTTAGCGTCGTTGATCATGTTGTTCGTCTCTTCGCTACCGAAGAGAATGACGCCACACTTGTCGGTCTTGCGTCCATTGAAGATCTGGGTGACTAACTGACTGAGCAGGGTGCATACGAGACTCGTCGGGTGGGACAGACCATCTCCTGTATCTTGAGCATGACGAACTGCAGTGACCACTCGAGGTTGGTCATCTCGATGACCTCGGACTCGCCGCCGGACGATGCTGGGACCTCTACTTCTCGCATCTTGCCCATGGAAGGCGAGATGTCGACGAGGAACATGGTCACCGTATACTGAAAGACCTATGTCAGACATGACTTAGCATACGAACAGCATCGATGGCTCACCCCTGCACGCTCCGCTGGCATCCTCGTCCGTGTCGAAGGGGTAGTAGCAACGTGAGGAGGCGCGGCTTGTCGCGGTGCCGGACTCGACTCGGGCGCGCCACCACGCGCGACGCGTTTGAGCCACGTGACTTTGAGAGTTTGGGCGGAGCGTGAAAGGCTGAGTCAGCAAGAGGCGATGCTCTGGGTGTTTGTTGTTTTGTTTTGGGCGAGGGAGAGTGGCCAGTTCTGCAAGTCGACTCACGAGATCTGCGCGACAGAGGACCGCGTCGCGTCGCCCGCCATCGTCCCCGGAATGGCCGCCCCGAACGTCGCCCCCAACCCTCACCAGGTCCCCCAACCTCATTTTCCCAACATCCCCGCCCAACAGCAGCTCAACGCTAACAATGCTGCCTTCCGCGAGCGCATGCAGCATCTCATCCAGGTGTGTATTCACTACCTGCCAGACGACGCTTATATGCGCCCAGCGTCACTCACTTGCCTCCCTCTCTCCCTCTCCGCAGCGCGCCAACCAGCTTCGGGCTGGCGGCGCTACCGTACAGAACAACGAGGAGTTCGCGAAGATATGGAACGTCATCCAGAATCTGCAGCAGCGACAGAGTGAGTCCTCGCCTCTTCTAACATCCTTCTTTTCTCTTTCCTGTCCTTTCTGCACCATCGCTTCCTCGTATCCATTCTACCATGCATCTGTCGTCCGTTGCTGGCGTACGGAGTGTCAACGTGGAAGGGTTAATGGTGGCGCGGTGTGAGGGTTTTGGCCAGTTCTACTATGACTACCCCGCATTCCTCGCGTATGTCTGTATCCCTCCCTGTGTCCATGTTCCTCCTTGTCTCAGGATCTCTGTCTGCTCAGTTGAGGCTGCGGTGAGGGGCACTCAATAGCTCTTCAGGATACGAGAAGTGCTCGTACCATCTTCTCCCCGCGTTCCTACTTCTGCCCCATGTGTCGTGCATATTCCCTCTCTCTACCGACTTACATTATTCCTTGTACTCTCCCCTTCTCTGCGTTATAAGACGTGCACGGAGGGGGTCGAGGCTCATGCTATGATGGGAGGGTTTCGGTCCATCTCTGCCGCTGCCACCCTCATTGCCTGCATCCTGCGCGATCAGACGGTCCTCTAAGGAGCGAGGGCTGTCAGATCGCGCTGAACGATTACTTTGCAATCCCATATCCTCGAACGCCGTAGTAGTAGTTAGCAGCAGAGGCGCATTGCTCCTCACGGTCGAGTATCCTCACGGATAGACTCGCCATCCATTCGCGAAGTCGCTTCAGGGTTGGACAAAAACCCTCTAGCCGATACCGTCTTGGCGTACTTCGACCGTACTATCGTCATCAGACATTGAGGGACGATTTCGCTTGCACGGTCTATCATGCAGATACTCTGGTCTATAATCTAGCTTGAATTATACAGACGGGATGGGTGTTGTCCCGTAAGTCCTCATTCAACAGCTCCCAGCGAGCTGTCATGATCTGCCCTCACCTCCTTGGGGATGAGCTGTCCATCGAGACTAGAGGATCCTTTGGTTACAGTGAAAAGAGTCATATTTATGTCATTCGTTCGTTATTTGTTCTTTGATATCCCTCGCCGATTGAGACGTTGCTGAGCGGTCGCTAACATAGTCATCTTAGGGCAAGAACAGGCCGCGGGCGATCACTCACATCCAGGAGTAAACGGCCAAGCCTCCATGGGACCCATAGCGAATGGCGTACCCGCCACCAACGGCAACGCTCTGACAGCGGGACCTGTCTCCAATCAACCCTATCCCCAAGCACCGCAGACCCCCGTGTCCTTCACTCCCGACCAAATCAACGCACTCCGTGCCCAAATTCACGCCTTCAAGCTCATATCACGCGGCATGCCTGTACCGGAACCCATCCAGCAAGCGATCCGTGTGCCGAACCAGGCTATCCCCGATTTACAGACCCTCCTCCACGGTGCTGATGTGAATGCGCGCGTCATTGACAGCGCAGTCAAGATCCATAAGAGCACGAACGGCACTCCCGTCAACGGCGTCGTCGAGCATCCCCCCGTGGCGGAAGTCACGCCGGCACCCCCGGAGACGATCAAGGAAGAGGAGATTGAGGCAGTCGATCCCGAGAAGTTGCCGAAGGGGCCGTTGCTCGAGGAGGACGTCAACTCGGGAATTTATCCGTACAATGCGTACACGCACCCATTCACCTTCCTGAAGCGCGACCCGGACGTGAGTCCCGCGCTGTGGGCGACGAAGATGCAGCGATTGCTCGTCCCGTCGGTTATGCCCGTCGGCCTAGACCCGCACCAAGTTATCGAGGAGCGCAATGCGTACATCGACGCACGGATCGAGCAGCGAATGCGAGAGCTAGAGGCGATGCCAGCCATGATGGGCGACGGCGGTCTGGAGAACCCGCTTGAGGAGGCCGAGAATGCGGAGCCGCAGTCGCTCGAGCAACCTGCCTACGTCCACCCCCCGTCGAACACCCACGGGAAGCTTCGCGCCCTCATTGAGCTGAAGGCGCTGCGCGTTGTGGACAAGCAGCGGCAGCTACGTGCGTCGGTGGCGGAACGGCTCATGCATGGAACGCTGCTCCCGCTGAATCGGGCGGACTTCCGGAGGACGAGGAAGGTGCAGCTGCGCGACATCCATAATACGGAGGTCGCGGAGCGCAAACAGCGTATGGACCGCGAGCGTCGCGCGAAGCAGAAGCACATCGAGCAGCTGGGCATCATCTGCACGCACGGGCGCGAGGTGCTCGCCGTCGGGCGGGCGGCGCAGGAGCGCGTCACGCGTCTGGGCAAGGCGGTGCTCAGCTTCCACGCGCACACGGAGAAGGAGGAGCAGAAGCGAATTGAGCGACTGGCGAAGGAGCGTCTGAAGGCGCTGAAGAACGACGATGAGGAGGCGTACATGAAGCTCATCGACACGGCGAAGGACACACGCATTACACACTTGTTGAAGCAGACGGACGCGTACTTGGACTCGCTCGCGCAGGCGGTCGTGGAGCAGCAGCGGTCGGAGGGGCACGAGGCGGTGGACTACGACATGGAGGAGGGCCCGGTGAGCGAGGCGACGTTCGGCGCGAAGGCGTTCAGTCAGGAGGAGGATAAAGGGAAGCTGGACTACTATGCGGTCGCGCATAGGCTCAAGGAGAAGATTTCGGCGCAGCCGAGCATCCTCGTGGGCGGTACACTCAAGGACTACCAGCTGAAGGGTCTGCAGTGGATGGTCAGCTTATACAACAACAAGCTGAACGGTATCCTTGCAGACGAAATGGTGCGTTACCGCGATGTCGCTATAGGTGCTATGGCTGACAGGTTTTCATAATAGGGTCTCGGGAAGACTATACAGACGATCTCGCTCATCACCTTCCTCATTGAGTCAAAGAAACAGCGCGGGCCATACCTCGTCATCGTGCCGCTGTCGACCATGACCAACTGGTCGAGTGAGTTTGCCAAGTGGGCGCCGAGCGTGAAGATGATCTCGTACAAGGGCAACCCGGCGCAGCGGAAGGTCCTCCAGACGGACCTCCGGACGGGCAACTTCCAGGTCGTCCTTACCACGTACGAGTACATCATCAAGGATCGGATTCACCTCAGTAGGATGAAGTGGATATACATGATCATCGGTACGTGCTCTATTCTGCACGCGACATATGCATCAACGTGCTTATACTTTGCCTATAGATGAGGGTCACCGTATGAAGAACACGCAGAGTAAACTAGCACAGACGCTCACGCAGTACTACCACTCCCGCTACCGCCTCATCCTCACCGGGACGCCGCTTCAGAACAACCTCCCAGAACTGTGGGCGCTGCTCAACTTCGCGCTGCCGAAAGTCTTTAACTCTGTCAAGTCATTCGACGAATGGTTCAACACTCCGTTCGCGAACTCGGGCACGGGCGACAAGATCGAGCTGAACGAAGAAGAGGCATTGCTCATCATCCGTCGTTTGCACAAGGTGCTGCGTCCGTTCTTGCTTCGTCGTCTCAAGAAGGACGTCGAGTCGGAGCTGCCGGACAAGGTCGAGAAGGTGATCAAGGTCCGCATGTCGGCGTTGCAGTCGCAACTGTACAAGCAGATGAAGAAGTACAAGATGATCGCGGACGGCAAGGACGCTAAAGGGTGCGTCGTGGTGATTTACTGGAACGGGAGTGAATGTGTTGACGTATTGCGTGATAGCAAACCGGGTGGCGTCAAGGGTCTGAGCAATGAGCTTATGCAACTGCGGAAGATCTGCCAGCACCCGTTCTTGTTCGAAAGCGTCGAGGACAGGGTCAACCCGAGCTCAATGATCGACGACAAGCTCATTCGGAGCTCGGGCAAGATCGAGCTGCTCTCGCGAATCCTGCCGAAGTTCTTCGCTACCGGCCACAGAGTAAGTTACGCGAAGTTTGACACGTCCAGTGATTATCAGACTAATGTCGCTACGTTAGGTCCTCATCTTCTTCCAGATGACGAAGGTCATGGATATCATGGAGGACTTCCTCAAGATGATGGGCTGGAAGTACCTCCGTCTCGACGGTGGTACGAAGACCGAAGACCGTGCAGGTCATGTCCAGCTCTTCAACGCTCCCAACTCCGAGTACAAGGTCTTCATTCTCTCGACTCGCGCTGGTGGTCTTGGCCTCAACTTGCAGACCGCCGACACTGTCATTATGTATGTTCCTATCTATTGCTCGTAGCTGATAGCATGCTTATGCCTTCATGCCGTATATAGCTTTGACAGTGATTGGAATCCTCATGCGGATCTCCAGGCGCAGGACCGTGCTCACCGTATCGGTCAAACCAAGGTTGTCCGTATCCTGCGGTTCATCACGGAGAAGAGTGTTGAGGAGTCGATGTTTGCGCGCGCTCGGTACAAGCTCGACATCGATGACAAGGTCATCCAGGCCGGTCGTTTCGACAACAAGTCGACCCAGGAGGAGCAGGAGGAGTTCTTGGTATGTAACTGACAACTACCTACAATACCATTCCTTACATGCGTTGCTTCTAGCGTTCTATTCTCGAAGCCGATCAAGAGGAGGAGAACGAGGAGGCCGGCGACATGAACGACGACGAGATCAACGAGATCATCGCCCGTTCAGACGAGGAGGCCGTGATCTTCCACGAAATCGATGTTCAACGCGAACGCGAGGCTCTGGAGAAATGGCGGCGCGCTGGTAACCGCGGCAAGCCCCCACCGCCCCTCATGCAACTTGAAGAGCTTCCGGAGTGCTATCGGGCGGACGAGCCATTCGCCGAGCCTGACGCCATCGACGAGCTAGAGGGCCGTGGACACCGTCGTCGCACCGTTGTCAACTACAACGACGGTCTCAGCGATGACCAGTGGGCATTGGTAAGCCTATTCGTCGCGCATCCATATTAGCTGTGCTTACGCCCACTGCTTAGGCCTTGGAGGAGGGTGAAGACCTACAGGAGCTTTCCGAGCGTGCCCGTGAAAAGAAAGAGCGTCGTGCCCAGAACAAGCTACTCAAGGATATTGACATCGTCGACTCGCCGGGTCCCGACCTCGACACTCCTCGTGGTAGTCGTAAGAACAAAAAGGGCAAGGGCAAGGTGCCCGCGGCCGACTTCGATCTAGGCACTCCCGCGAGCAGCAGCAAGAGAAAGCGTGGCGGCGGCAAGTCGACATCAATGACTCCCTCGCTCATTGACGATGAGGATGATGAGCGCGACACTGTGAGGTTAATCGTGATATGATCCAGCACCAATACTGACGGACTGCATAGAAACGCCGCAAGACGAAGCAGGAGCTGCCACCACCCATCAAGGAGAAGATGAAGAAAGCTCTTAACGACGTTCACAAGGCTGTTCAGAATCTCGAGGACGAGACGGGCCGGAGGCGCAGCGACTTGTTTAGGGAACTCCCAGATAGACGGGTTAGTGTCTCGTTCAATTCTTCGCTTCCGAGGTCACTAACATCAGACATAGGAATACCCTGACTACTATCAGCTCATTCAGCAACCTATCGCCCTTTCGACCATCCGGAAGCGTATCAGCTCGCATTACTACAAGAATGTCCTCGACTTCCGGGAAGACATGCGACTGATGTTCAATAATGCTCGAACGTACAATCAGGAGGGCTCATGGGTGTATGTCGATGCAGAGGAGATGGAAAAGGTATTCGACGCTGCATTCGCTAAGCACATCGTCGGCAGCGGCCTACCTGGGGCACCATCAGGCAGCGCGGCCGGCGGTTCGTCTGGTGGCTATGACTCGGCACTGACGCCCGTGGACGACGACGACTCGCGACCAGCCCCTTCTCGTAGCAAGAGTGCACGGAAGCAGGTCATAAGCGATGATGAATACATGACCCCGAGCGACGAGGAGTGAGAGTTTTCTTGAACGACGTTGTGCCCTTGGCTTTCCGGATTTTGCGCTCGTTCTAGCTTTGTCCTATCTCATGTAATACTATTTTGTAGTTAATAGAGAATGTGTAATTCGCGAGCTGATTCTCCCGCAGAGTATGGGATGCATGATTTTGCCATGAGACGACTGACATTTGTGTATTGCTGCTGCACGGGGCTATGATAATCACTGCTCAATTCGATACGCGCGGTGAGCCTTAAACTGTACTACAAGTACATACGCTGACCCTAAGCACTACACCAGGATGCTACAAGCAAGCAATAGTAGCCACTTTCGAGAATATTATCATCGCTATCCTAGTTCACAACGCGTCCAGATGCAGCCTGACCCTTGTCCAGCGCAGACAACAACTCGTCGTACAGTATTTCACCCACCGCAGGGTTGAAGTAGTTGAGTATCCTAGGGTGGTCCTGATATATAACTGGGTATGTGGTCTGCCCGTTTTCCTGCACGCAGTTCGTATTCGTCACCTCATCATCCCAGCTTCGCTGCAAACCACAACAAAAGGCGCTCACCTGAATGGGACGCATATGCCTCAGATTTGGCACGACACCATGTCTCCAGGAGAACTTATTGTCTCTGCGAACCCATACAAGGACGCGATCTCCCGTCTGAGGACGAAGCCGAATTAATCAGTAGGCCAGAGGCGAATGCAATTGTGTGGCTCACCTTGAAGTGGTTCCGCCTGATGTACCGCGCATAGTCTATTGAGTCTCCTCGGAGGTCTTCGGTTAGCCCGCGGGTATGAACCCGGTCTATGGTTTTGTCTGCAGTATCCACGCAGGTTGCTGACTGGCATGGCTCCAGTCCCTTCCCCTTGAGCTTGGAGACACCTTGAGGACTGCGTCCATTCGACGGTGATTCAGGAGTGTTCAATAACACGGTAGCTAATGGACCTCGTAGCGTCTGACTTGATGCAGCGCTAATACAGTGCATATCGTGCGGTTGTGTGGCATAAGGTGGGGTCATCTCGATAGAAGCGAGACGTTGTCGACTGCTTCGGATTTAGTGGTTAGCACTGTGTGTCCAGAACCGATAGGCCAGTATTCTGTGCTGTAAATAATAGCACTCACGTTTCTCAGTAACGAGACAAAATTGAACGATACAAAAGTACGTCAGGAATCATGAAGGTACAGATCAGTGGTGAAGCGGTTGAAAGCGACTGTATAGCGCGTGGAAGGTTGAGCGCTTCTATGAAAGCTTCGGGGTAGGTACCCGCGATCCGAGTATGGGTGGCATGCCTGGAAAGCCCCTCCGTATCGACTCACCGTGAATATTCCGATTTATACTTCTTTTGTGGTATCACCCTTTGGGCAGAAAACTGATTACTTCTACGTACATAATAACAAATGCCTCATCTTGAAGTGACTTGAATGCCTGATGCGGTAATACCATTCACTCCATGTCACAATGAACATGTCAATGCGGACGTAGTACAAAGTAGAGACTTTGAAGCGGGAAGTTTGTGATATCCCCAACACATCAAATAATCACCATTGGATGCCGTGAACATGGTGGATTGCAGCGCTTCCTTGCTAACTTCCTACTATGCGACGGGATCAAGTTGGCATCGGGCGAACCAACCAACCTCCAAAGACGGTGACATATAGAGCTCGAACTCGAGAAAATATCGTAGGAATGACGCCAGAACATCACGCGGAGTCTTTGAGGCTACTGCTAAGCACGATTGACATCGGTTTACAAATATCATACACCAGGCCCAATGTCACAGAAGTACACTATGATCGAGGTTGTAACGAACACCAAATATGACTGCCCTCCTCTCTACAGCTCAGAACAAAAAAACAAAGTACACGAGAGGCACTTATTACCAAGGATCAACACGTGTCAACGTTTTGCTGTCAAAATATGATACAACGCGAGGTTTGCATTGTATGAGTACGGGGTATGCACAATAGGTAGGGAACTGTTGAGAACGTAAATCGTCAGCCCTCCTTGATGTTGCATGCGCCACCATACTTACATGCTTTGGCGGGAAGACCGTCAGGTCAGCGATATGAAGGTATCGCCAGCGTTCTGGGCTGGATTCGCATGGTACCCTCACTCTCTCGCCGCTCTATCAAAAGAAATGTCAGTGATTGGTGTGCCACTGGATGCATAACCGTAACTTGCCTTGAATCGTGGACAGCTGTGTTCGTTAGCATCATCGAAACTGCTTGATTCTTCTGTTTCTTCGTATGATAGCTCGCTGTCAGAAATGGGTGCCTCCTCGGCGACAGATTCCGGAAAATCTTCCTTGAGGGCCTCCGCCGCCAAGCAAGACAGTATCCCTAAACGTGTATTCGCTGCCTCGTTTTCCGATGCGAGCGATGCGAGCTTCCTCGCGAGGAGCTCAGCAAAAGCGAGGTCGCTCAGAGCGTTGAGCGCCTCCTTTGTTCCACTGGTGGCGTGTTGGACAGGCTGAGCCATCGGGAAGAGAATCGGCTATGACGAAATTCAGAGAGGTGAGAGAAACCCAAGGTTGCTCGAAAGGACGTTATCGGGACAGGATCCGAGTAGAGGGACAGGAGGGAAGGAGGATACGAGTAGATGAGGGTGATGGAGGAACCCCTAAAATTTGGTGGCGGAAAGACTAATAGTGGCGCAAGGCGAGTGGCAAAGATGATTTGGCCACCAGCACAGTGGAGGGACAATTGAAGACAACGAAAACAGCCCAGCGGAGGGTGGCGATATAGGTGACGAAGCAGAGAGAAGCGCTGCGGAGAACGTTCGAGCGACCCACTTACTGGTGGCACTGCATGGCGGTAAGTCACGTGCCTTATCATCGAACAATAACTTTACCTTTGTTCCCTCGAGCGAATCGCGGGCTACGTTGCTTCCAGCATTCAGTGCAACGGAAGATGAGGCGAGATGGTATGAGAGACACCACATTACCGTGCTTTATCGCCGAAAGAGCGCGCGAGAGGTAACGGCACGCACGGCACGCAGGTCTTGACATAAAGGGCAGTCGAAATGATACATGGACGATCTTACGTCTACACGCAACCCTTGCCTTGTCATAGAAGCGGGGTAGTGGGAGCACTTCACGGTTTTGCTTTGATGCCACTGACAATGAGGCTCTGCGGAAAGATGTTAGTGTACGCCGTCATCTCTGCATATCAATCGACAAACCTTGTAAGCCTGGACGTCGCCTTTGAATTTGCTGACGGTACCATCGGCGCAAACCCAGAGCTGAGATTCCGATCAGCTCCGATCTTGATAAACAGACCATTGTACTGACCTCTGTTGCGACGGACGTGATGAAGCGCTCGTCGTGGGAGATGAGGATGACACCGCCGTTCCAAGTGGCCAGCGCATTCATCAGAGCATCGAGACCCTGAACGTTTGTGAGTAGCAGCCGAGGTCCCTGAGTCAAGGAGCTTACCTCCATATCCAGGTGGTTAGTCGGCTCATCCAGGAGCAGGACATGTGGCCTTTGCAGCGACAGAACGGCGAAGGCTACACGGGACTTCTGACCTCCAGAGAGCGTGCCGATCGGCTGCAGGCCGGTCATCCCAGAGATCTGGAAGTTACCCAGGTGCGAGCGGTACTCCTGCTCCGTCTTTCCAGGAAACTTGTGCGCTAGGAACTGCACGGGAGACATGGTGGGGATGAGACTGTCGACATGATGCTGTGCGAAGTAACCGCTGAAAGGATGTCAGCGATACTCTGCGCTGATAGACAGCATAGATGACCTACATACGAAGACGGCCATTCTGGTTGACATGTCCCTGTATGGGCTTTAGTTCGCCCGTGAGCAGCTTGATTCTAGTCACGACACGTCAGCAACAGCCGGATGTGTTGGTGAAAGAAGCAAACGACGCACAGCGTTGACTTTCCTGCACCGTTGGGACCAATAACAGCAATACGAGAGTCGAGACCGACGTCAATGTTGACACCCTTCAACAAGATTTTGTCCGGAGTGTATCCAAACGTGACCTCGTTTAGTTGGAGCACCGGCGGCGAGATCTTCTCCGTCTCAGGGAATTTGAAGGTCTCCGTGTCCTCCTCTTCTGGCGGAGTAAGCTCCGGGAGCTTCTCCAGAATCTTGATTTTGGACTGCGCCTGGGCCGCTCGATTGGCATTGTACCGCCAGCGGTCGATGAAGGCCTGCAAGTGCTTGCGGTACTCCATCTGGGTCTCGTATTCCTTCCGAAGGTTGCGGTCGCGCTCAGACTTAGTGGAGTAGAACTGCGTGAAGTTGCTATCGCGTACCAGGATAAGAACAGCTTTCACACAGGATTATACACCACTTACCCTTTGTAGTAATCGAGGCGCGCAGAGTGCATGTGGACGATATCGGTCGCAACGGCATCGCTAAACACATTGGTGATGACCAACGAAATTGTAGACAACACTCTGTGACTTACAGGAATGCTCGGTCGTGGGATCTGTCAAAGCGCGTTGATAGTTGGATTATGAACGTGAACAGCAGAGACAACTACTCACACGACGAGGAGGGTGCCTGGCCAGGTCTGCAAGTAATCTTCCAGCCACGCCAAGGCATTGAGATCAACTGACTAGAAAGTTAGCGTGAACGCGGGCGCTAAAGCAGCACGAGTCCTTACTGTGGTTAGAAGGCTCATCAAGAAGCAGTAACGCAGGCTACACTCGCAAAATTAGACATTGATGACGGAATGTATGGGAACCCCTGTACCTTCACAAACAGTGCTCTCGCTAGAGCGAGACGCATACGCCAACCACCACTGAACGACTTTGTCGGTCGCTTCTGATCTTCCTCGCTGAAACCGAGGCCTGCAAGACGATCAGTACTAAGGAGACGTATAGTGCCAGAACAGTATTTCCTTACCAGCAAGTAATGCCGCCGCTCGTGCAGGTCCGCTCTCAGCGTCCATGTCAGCAAGTCGTGCGTGCACCTCCGCCAAACGCGTCTGTGCTTCGTCCCGCGCGTCCTCGAATCGCTTGTCGTCGCCCTCGTTGTCAAGCTCGGCAAGCTTCGCGTTCAACGACGCTTCCTCGCGCAAAAGCGTATCTCGCCAGACGTCTGCCTTGAGCACCGAGTCCAATGCGAGGGTTTCGTCTCCGACGATTTCTTGTTCGACGAAGAGGATGGTGATGTGTGGAGGAATCGGCACGTCACGCATGGCAATGTGCCGGAGAAGCGTCGATTTACCGACACCGTTGCGACCAATGAGACCATAGCGGCGGCCATATGCGAGCGTTAGGGATGCGCCAGATCTAGTAGGCGCATACATTGAATAAGAGATCATGGACATGAATCACACCAATGACATACAGGATGCGGTTTGAGCCAAAATTGACATCGATGTTCGTGAGGTGGATATCCTTCGACTTGTTCTTCGACGCTGCGGCGGCGTCGAGAGGGTTGATCTTCATGAACATCTCTTCATATGTTTGCTATGCGAGACTGCCAGTCAGACTCGGAAGCTCGAGGGAGGTCGATGTTACGCACCTGTTTCTTGTGCTGGTCGAGCAGCCTGGAGCCCTCGTACAAGTTCCCGGTGCGCTTTGAACGCTTCTCGATCTTGGCCTGTATGACAGCGTATGAAGAGCCGCATTTCCGTGAGAAGCGTAGTGATCACGTACTCTGAGCTTGTTCTCCTGCTTCTCCAACTTCTTGACGTCGACGCGCGAAGCCCTGCGACGAGCATTCGTACCGGGAGCGGGATGAAGGCAGACGCAAGCACTCACTTTCCCTTGTTGATGCTTTCGAGATCGACGCCCTCGGTAAAAGCGATGGTGTTGCTCATGTTGTTCGCCTTACTGAGATCCATGACCTTGTCTAGCCTGACCAGGCCACTACCCTTGCCGGTGCGGTTCTTCTCCTCACGGCGAGACAGCGGCTCCTTCAGCAAATCTGCAAGGCGATTCACAAGGTTCTCCAAGTCAACTCTCTTCGCCTGACTAGACGAAGAGCCAATGGCAGAATCCAGAATGTCGCGAGTGACTTGCAGGACATCTTCGTCTTCCGCCGCGTCGTCGAGGTCCAAGAGGTAGCCAGAGAGGTATTGGACGATGATCTCCTCGGTACCGGGTAGGGTACTTCGGATCTGTTCTGCGATATCTTCAGAAGATACCATGTCGAGATTGGCAGGAAAAGTGGAAGATAGCACAACCCGAGTTGAGCAGATGGATGCTTATGCGTGAGACTCACGGAAATTATGGCTCCCGACAAGATCGGAGCATCGGCGCTTACCTTCGAACTCTGTTGGCCAGTGCCTCCACTTGGCATGGCGCCACAGCGCAATGCACTCGGCGATACAGCGGACAGCAAGTAACAATGGAGCTCTGTTCACTACCAGCTGCCTTAGGCGTATCAAGTGTTCGCATTGAATCTTGTTGTGATGCCTGTAGGATCCCATGTGACTGGGATCTGTCTAAGTGGGCGCTGACGAACTCTTCGTAGTGATGCTGTCTTCAGGTTTACCAGCACGCGCCACGGCGTCAGGTATCCAGAGCTGTGACTCGAATTCGAAGAATCGCCGGCCGCGGAGGCTATGCACCGCAGCGTATACTAGTACGGCACCACCCCGTACACTACTAGTGTCTTTCATCCTGCTCAACTCGCATTCTCGTCTTATCATTCTTCGAACGTCTCGGCGTCTCGGGTGGCACTGTCGCCCTCTAAAGGAACTTAAGTCATGATGGTCTTGTTCTTCGCAGAGGCCGTCTCACTTGGACTAATCACTTATGGGATGGGTTTACTCCCTTTATGCACATCATCCAGTACGATACTTCCATGCTCTCATCGTCTTTGGGCTAGACAATCTGTCTCAGATTCCTCCTTGTCCGCTATGACGATTCTGGGGACTGGACGTCTCCTTGGCTCTGCAGGGGCCATCGTGGCCGCGAAGTGCGCCAACACTTGCCAAGCTCCCTCGAGCCAGACTGACTGATATCTGATTCCTGCAGGTTGTTCTTGGGGGCGGCCTCCACCTATATGCGCAGCGCACCCTTCTCACGCACCGCCATGACTCTATCGGACGTGGGCGGTATCTTGTTCATATTGATCGCAGACGGTCGACTCTCGTTCCCGTTCATCGGCGCTGGACGTAGACGTCGTCCACGGGCGGACTCAAACCCCCATGAACGGCTACCCCTAGTCGCACTGCACTCCGGGCAGGATAGTATGAATTCCACAGATCTAGAGCCATTCGAGCCCGGATCGGCCCCGCAGGCGACAGTCCCAGATGCCGTTATCCCTCGTATGACACCGATTTCCAGACACTACCAGCGACGTATCTACTGGTTCACGTTCGCGCTGGTAATCCATGAGATCGCGAGAGCTATTGATATCAAAGTCCAAGTCTTGAACGGGTTGACAAGAATGGCGCCGGACACTAGCGTTGAGGAGACCGCCGTCCTCGTCACTGCCTCCGCGTATCTATATTCGGCAACCCGACAGGGTAGCTATCTACGGCCAATGCCCTCTCTAATCCACTTCATGTGTACTGATCTACGCCCACGAACTTAGGCTTGATGGGAATCGCCCTCGCGACGACGCTCCGCTTGGCCGCTCTCCCGATCCCCAGTTGCAAACAGCATGTGCTTGTGTTCGCTGCAGCGCCTACAATTGTGAAGCTGTTCGCATACATCGTCGTTGTATTCTTTCAAATAACCGTGGATCAATACCGGTCCCTCCCTCTTGTGGTCGTGCAGTCATTTACTGTAGGTTCCAAAGATTCCTCTCCCTTGTGGAAGTTCTGTTCACAACTGTCCGTTAGTCTATTATGGTCGTCTATGCCGTCTTCATGAGACGCTCTCTTATCAAGTCGCCGGTCAAGAACGGGCGGGGCTTTTGCATGAGATTCCTGCTATTGGGGGTAGGGGCTTTGTTGCCATGGACCATCGCCATGACATTGATAGCAATCAATGTCTTGACGAATCCGCATGTATCGTCGTTGATACAAGCATCGTTGGAATAGCATCTCGGTACAGCGCCGACTTTTCAATGCTTCACATATCACGAGTTACGACTCGTTGCATGTGTTTTATATCGCATTGGTTTTGATAAGGATTGCAAGTTTGTAGTACCGACGACAACGACAGGAAGACAAAGTATCTACCCACAATTGGACACCGCGTCTGAGCTCTCACTACACATTTTGGTGCACGTTAGCTTCCCGCAACAGCGGTACTAGTCCCGAGGGCCACGAAGAGGCCTGCACCAGGCACGTCCATGCTTCTACGCACTGGACGACCGTACCTCGGGGCGGCGTCTTGAATCGAGGGGAACTTGCGCCCTCGAAGCCACTTGCTGTCTTGTCCGATGCCGTCCATCCCCGAACGGATCCGAGGATACGACGAGGTCTTGATGTGAACCCGTGTGCAAGCCACACCGTGCGTAGGACCCCCGTCAACAGACAGGGCCGTCAACCGGGCAGAGGGTGGGCCAACTGGCAACCCAAGCTCAACCCTCGACGCCCACAGCTGTCAGCTCAGGTCAGTATGATAATTGGAAGATACGAAGACAGAGAGTCTCACTTTGACCTGCGGGGACAGCGTGGGCGCCGGAAAGGCCGTCTGTTGTCGTCTACCTGTATAGAATACGTCAGCCTGATGAGGTCGGAAGAGAACTCACCTGCATTAGACGTCTGGCAGACGTGCCCCGTAATACGGGTGCGGGTGCGGACGCGCCACTCGAAGGTGGTTGCTTCTAGTCCACTCACCGCTGCACACTTCCTACACAGACGTCGCCTGGTGTCCTGTCGCCTGGTGTCTCGTCGCGCTTGGAGGAGAGGTCGGACCGTCGCGGGCTGCGATATGAGTGTGAGTATAGTAGTAGACAATGAACGAAGGCGACAACATACCGTCTTGAGGCAGCAGTCTGCTGACGACGCGACACCCTTGCACGACTTCCACAGGACAGTCGGCAGTGGCGCGTACGTCGTCTACCCGTCACTCTTTACGAGTCACGTTCCAGGTTACAGCGTCCGTCCTTTCCCTACCACCCCCGAAGAGGCGGACAGGTACTCGTCCCGGGTGCGCCCCGGCTTACGCCCATTGTCAAAAGACGTTGTAGCGGCGGGGCACCGACGCCTGGGCTCAGTCACCCGCTCGACCCGTGTTGGTAGCCACACCCCAATGACGAGGTGGGCCACCAGGGTGAACAGGCTTAATCGCCGCTGTTGCCCGGGATGGTACGCGTCGAATCTGAACACCGCCACAGTCAACATGTTGCGTAGAGCAGAGAAAGACGAAAGGTTCTCACGATTGACCTCGACCGTACCTGGTTCTCCAACGCTCTGGGTGACAGATAGTGATGAGCAAGGGTGAAACGGCAAGCTAAGCGAGAAAAATACCCATGGACGTCAGGTCCCATGCTAACCACCGTCGTCAGGCAGCAAGGCCTGAGAGAAGAAGGCATCCGGCGTGTAAACGAACCGTGGTCACGGCCGGAGATTTAAATGGTCGGAGAACATCTTCGAAGACGGTGGTGGTGGTGAGGAAAGAAGGAAAGGACGGAATGGCGGCGAGTTATACCGCGACGGGCGCTCTGTGGCGGACTTGGCTGGATGGTTTGATTTGTGCCAACCTCGAGGCTAGCACGGTCAGCCGCTACTGTTCGCATCAGAAAACATAGGATTCGCCCGAAAGGCCGAACCATAGAGGCTGACACTGACTCCAGCCGATCGATCGCAGGTCTCCTGCCCCGAATAGCGAGTAAATCAATCCCGGCTCGTTCTCGCTTCAGAAGACCGCTGCGCTGTGGACAGAAGGCTGCCTTGTGATAATCGATCCATTCACTGATGCTGGGCGTGCCTGCTCATTGTGCGGTGCCCAGACCATGTCTTCCCTAGGGAGGGTGAGATACAGCAGACTGCGTGAATCTCAACTGAACTCACCTTACTTATTCATGTCAGCCTCGTTCGAGCTGACAGACGAATCAGCGAATCCTCTGCCAACTGGAGTTCTCCTTCCGCGATTTCCCGTATTCACCTCTATTTGTCATTGTAGGCGACCTCATTCCACCAGCCTCTTCATATCCTCCTGGGCAGCCTATCGATCGTCATCGTAGCCGTTCTCAACACAATTGTGACGCAGGGATGGTCCCAGTCCGTCAGTGCCTCCCTTATGGCGGTGAAGAGAATATGTTCAAAAGTCAACTTGTTCTTGTCGTCAACGATCAGTCAGCGATTCCATCTGCCGCGCATCCCAGGAGGAAAGCGGGGGCTACAGGATGTTTCCGCGGTCTTCTCATGGATATGATGATTCCACAGCAGCACACTGCCTGACTAGAGTACATCCGCCGTTTCGCGTGGCCATATGCTGGGGCGGGCGGGCACCGTCCTGCATACATAGCATCCATGAGCTTGTGTCTCTTCGCCTGGTTGGAGAACACGCCCACCTCTGTGCGGCAGCACTAGAATCGACTCTATCCCACGAATCACAGTTGATCGAATATGAACGCTGCCAGTGGAGTGGCGCTTCTAGTGGCCATAAAATTGACATTGATTGACATTGATACTAACCTCGAGCTGACGCTGACTACACGATTGCAGCTCTCATGGCTCACTTCGAATACCTATATAGTAACGTTGTCTGGTTGTTGGTTCATGGAGTCAAGGAGAGTCATGACAGTTGCTGCCAGCAGCGAGTTGGAGGGAAGGAACATGTAGGCGCTAAGAGGACGCAGTGCTTCCCCTAGTGCTGGAATAGTCGCTGGATATGGTATATCCATTGGCAAGGGGCGCGGTACTTAGTTACACTAGTGGTACAAATTAGGAAGTAAGGCCAGGCATGCAGAATAGATATCGTAAATGCTCCGAGGAGTATGAGGTAGTCGACTTGATAACATAAGACACTAAATTGGCCCTCAGGAAAATCAGGTATATTCCATGAGCTCCTTCTCTTCGAACCAGATCAGGTGGCGACACTGCCTGGTGGCTCTATCCATAATTACTGGGTATTCCCAGCAACCCTTTTCCTGGAAATTAGTCGTGCAACATCAGAAAGCATTACGGACCATTGAAGGCAATCACGACCGCACCTCACAGAAGCTGGGAGGGTCGTGGTTAACAGCGATGACGCCCGATATCCACTCCCCCTTCGTCTTGTCAAATGTCTGCACTTTATCTCCGGGCTTTGTCAATCAGTTATAAGATATATGAATATCATAGCAAGAATCATCATGGAACTTACCTCGAAGAGCCGTTGAGGGATCCATTGCCGCGCAGCTGCACGCTTCAGCAAGGTAGCAGGCGAAGCACACATGTACTGAGGCATCTTGCTGAACGTCTCAGTAAGGAAACCTAATTGCCTGGGTTCTTTACAGGTTAAAATCGGAGAGCATGAGGCTATGTGAAACGACATACCGAACTGCAGGCTGACGTTGATTTCGCTGGTAGAGAGGCGGGTGCGGCAGCATCTGTGATTTTATAACCCTTCTCTACGACGGTCAAAGCGTAGCAGTAGAGCGTGGTGGACTTCGCTTTGGCGGTCGTTCAGTGGCGTACCAACTGTCTCGCTTACATTTGTCTATGGATGTTTTGGAGCGCTTTTCGCTTTCGCTTATTGACCCGGACGATGCTCCTATTTTAAGCAGGTCGACGCAGGCTTCCACTCCGTGACTTGAAGTCAATGCAGGGCCGTGAGATAAAAGATATCGTCAAGCGATCTTGAAGCCATCCTGTCAATGAGTGGAGCTACGTGGTAGCTTGAGCGACTCTGAAGAAGTGACGAGTGGCGGACGGCTTAGACATACCCGACCGGGGCCAAATGTATTGTCGTAGTTGCAGCCTATGCTCGAATTGACTGGTTCCGGTGACATCCAGTATTTGCTGATGAGGACGCAACATACCACTCGTCACTCGGCACTGGAACGAGGTGATTCTGATGTTCTCAGTGGGACTCCCATACACCTCGAGCGCCAGCAGTAACGGTCCTTTGCGATTTTTTCGCCGCCAAAGCAGCGCATAACATGTACAGCCCAAGCGGCAGGGCCAAAGGCTGAAACATCTTAACCCTTAAGGTTCGGGCAAGATCATTATCAAATGGTTCGTGTGCAAGATGCACAAGGAACGAAGCCAATGTCATCGTAGGAAGTGGATGCCGATGCCGACGGGTATGATCCGGGATCGTCTGAAGACGTCACGTCTCGAGAGCCACAAAAACAACAATCTGCATAAGGCCCCTGCGAGAAACTTGCGCGGCCTCAGAGCGATGGCCCACAAAAGCGGGTAGCCTACGTGTACGCTCGGCGTCGCAGCCTCCGGCAGGGTGGTCTGAAGTCCGGCTACAACAGCCGGGGGCCCGAGCACAACATCCTGCCTGATGTTTGACCACAGTAGGCCGTACCACATCATGGACCGAGGATATGTCATCAAGATCTACGAGGGCGGTGGAAGCTCTTTGAACCCCCTCATCGGCCGCACAGCACAGATGATCAGGAACCGTTGCTCCACTCGAAACCGCAATGGACGTGGTAAGTACCCCGAGTATTCGGCAATTCAGCTTGAAAGTCGAAGGCTGAGGGCGCAGAGCAGGCAGAAACAGCGATACGGACTCGTGGCCTCACCAGATATACGAAACACCAGGCCCTCGTGCCAAGAGGACGAACGGCCGACCTCCGTGGAAGACTGATGCATGCGACCATCGGCTTCCTGACATCCCTATGCGGACCAGCGTCTCCGCGTCCCTACGCGCCACTGTCCCTTCCATGGCGGAAAAACCTCGACTTGGGTGCTGGAAGCGATCGTAGGATCGCTGGCGGCTCCGAATAGCAAGATTCGAACTCGCCCTTCTGATGCGTTGGTCACGTGGTAGGACAGGAATGAACTTCGGGTGAATGTGACATGCTTCGTGTTGTTCAGCCGCCGGAAATACCCAGCCACAAACCAACCAAGATCCCGAATCCACTGCATTATATAGACTCGAATATGGCGTCACGACCGAATGCTGAGTTCTTGTAACATAGTGACACAGTGCACGCGTTGACCTTGACGTGATGGGGAACGCAATGCAAGAATGCTCCTTGGGCATACCACAGAAGTATCGACGTATCATGTCCTAAGTGTTGTCTAGTGAGTGACGTCCGCACAGCAATCCAGAAGCGCAGACTCACCTATGGGGTGAAGTGTGATAGCGTATGCGATATACAATAGTGGTCAATAAACGATGTACGATGAGAAAGGAGATCATGTTTTTGACTGCATAACAACGCGGTTCCTTGAATCATAATAAGTCATCAACCTATGGGCCCACAGAAGGTCGGCTGGACGCCTTTATTTGACCTTCGCGACCTGACCGTCTTCCAATCTCCTCCTCCTCGGCGCGACCTCAACCTCATCGCGCTTCCAGGGTTTGTTACTCCACTCCGGCGGCGGGAGGTACCCATGTGACGGATGGTAGGGTATCGCAGGAGGAATGGGGTAGCTAGGAATATGACGGGGAGGAGGGGCGGCGATTTCGCGCGGCCGGAAGAACGACGGGAGCGAATTGATGAAGAGAGTGAAGAACGCGAGCGAAGAGATGACGAAGGCCTGGCCGCGTACCGTCAGAGTCAATACGCTAGCCACCAGCCTGAGCGCGACAAAGGCTCACCAGAGTCTTCCAGCTGATCGGCTCCACGAAGGAGTTGACCGTCTCCCCGATGACCTCCATGCTGACCTTCGCACGGCCCACCTTCGTCGGGTCCCGGTTCATGCATGTCTCCCATGCGGCACACTGCGCAGCCATCGCAGGCACCGTACCTTTCTCGCAGAGGTTGGCCTTGTAGGCTAAATTGCACTGCGCGATATCTTGCACAATGTCCATAGAGTATTCCGCAACGCGATACTCGACGTCGCGCGAGACAGTGAGGACGAACAGCACGAGGAGATAGATGCCGAGCAGCGCCAGTGCAGCGTTAAAGACGAATTGTACGTAGCTGTGCAGCCAATTCATGAAAACGAAGCGCAAGAGTGAATGGCGGCACGTACCCTAGGAGGCGAAACGGGAGGTCAGACTGCGGGGCTATGGGACCGGCCATGTTAAGCGTATAGTGGTTTGTAGTTTTCTGGGTCAAAGGCGCGTGATCGCCCTCCTCCCCACTCTCTTCTCCGCTGCTTTCTCCGTCATCCACCCTCGCGTGACGACGGCCTAATCGACTCCGATCCCGCTGGTTTCGCCTCTTGTAAACTCTCCGCAGAGCTGCTCCCGACACGGGCCGATTTCCCTCCCCATCCTGCTCCTGCTCAGTGAGCTTACTGCCAGGACTGGACTCAGACATTTCCACATCATGAAGCTCAGGCTGCGGAAACGCCTTTTCTGGGGAAAAATTTGGAGGTGGAACCCACGCGGGTGGATGTGGAGTTTGGGGAGCAGGGATGTTGAAGAGGAACGGCGTGTTGGTATTGTGACCGAACGTTGGCCTTGAAGGCGTGCCCGGGGCAGATAATGTGGGTGTTGGGGGATTGATCTCGTTGTATAGACCTGGAAAGAGGGTGAGCGAACCGGCCGAAGGGGTAGGACCGCAGTGATGCCTCCCCCCTCTGGACGGTCAGAGAGGCAGGATATTGCACCATATTGCAAGGAGCGAGACTCACGTTTCGATGGGGACATCCATACAGGCGTGGTTTCCTTTCTGTGGGTGTATTCGTAATCCATCGGAGCCTCGGTCGAACGATCCGTGCGTCGCTGCATCGTGTGGAGTCGTTATCAAGTGCGTGTCCGCAGCTTTCGTCCCCTCCGTATGCGTTTGTTGAGCAGAAAGATATGGGCCCTGAGGGGCAGCGAGAGACCGACAGTGGTGACGCGAGAAAGGTTGTCGTGGCTCGTCCTCGCCGTAGCGCACAAACGCGTGTGTCACGTGAACGCGGCACACCCTACGGCGTCTATCTTCGCGCCTCGCCCTCAACGACGACGAAGACGAAGACCGCCACGCTGAGCCTTGGCTATCGGCCACCATGTCTTCCACACTCAGACGCTCGCTGGAACGCAGTGTCTCTGCATGTCTGCAACGCGGGACACGGAAGGCACTGCCCATTGCTCGCCACGTACGACATATACACCCACTTGCGGCGGACTGGAGCGGACTCGGACATGCGCATCCGGTGACGGCGAATTTAGTCCCCATTGTGATTGAGCAGACTGTAAGTAGGATTTTGAAACAAGCCTTGCCTTGACTATATGCATTTACGCAGGGTAGAGGGGAGCGAAGCTATGACATTTTCTCTCGATTACTCAGGGAGAGAGTAATTATGCTATACGGACCGGTGAGTACTCATATGTTTATGGTGCGGCAGCCCTTTTTAACGTATAGAAGATCAGGGATACGGATTCCGCATTGATTGTCGCGCAGCTACTGTTCCTGGAGGCGGAGGAGACGTCCAAACCTATTCACGTGTACATCAATTCGCCAGGTGGTAGCGTGACTGCCGGCCTTGCGATTTACGATACTGTGTGTGTGTCCATGCGCGCGTGTGGGTTCGAGTTTGACCTACGTAGGCATAGATGCAATATGTGTCGTCGCCTATTCACACATACTGCGTCGGACAAGCATGCTCCATGGGCTCCCTGCTTCTCGCTGCAGGTGAGAAGAGCAAACGACATGCGCTTCCACATTCGAGCATCATGATTCACCGTGAGTCGTCGTGTGTTTTTGCTCCGTATGTACTGAGACCTCTCTCTTCACAGAACCTTCCGGCGGAGCGTCCGGCCAAGCGAGCGATATAGCCATACACGCGAAAGAGATTCTGAGGGTACGTGAGGTGCTCACAGGAATCTACCAGAAGCACTGCGCGCGCGAGGGAGAGAGTGTCCAGGATGGATTGAATAGATTCCGTACGTGTTCCGTTCCGTTGGACATGCTTCTGGCTGCGGCTCACCGTACTCGTTGTCCACTAGAGACCGCGTTGGAACGGGACTACTTTATGACGGGTAAGCTATTCAAGACAACTCGGTTCTATTGAATACTCAAGGCAAACGTTTGCAACAGCCCAGGAGGCACTAGAGTTTGGGATTGTAGACAGGGTACTCGAGAAACGTTCCAAGATGGAAAATGTCTAGTCGGTCCTCCTGAAAAGCACAGTCTTAGGGCCCGTCAGAATAGGTATCTTCCGTGCATTGACCAGTATGCATTTTATCTTCATAGAGAAACAACGACGAGCGCTTGCGTCAGAACGACCGAAAGTTCACGTTGAACAGCCCGCGAGGCTGACCACGGTTTGAGCGTCCGTGTTCGAGTACCTGATGGTCTATGTACAGAATCCGTCGCCTTGGGCTAGATCTCACACCCTTCAAACACACCTGTATTTTCGAGGACGATGGCCGGTCGAGCTTGGCTGAGCTACAGCGCCCGTCGTGGTGAGGGTGGTTTTTTCTCCCAATAGGTATTCGTTAACTCCGCTCAACAAGGCTTACAGCTCGGCAGCTTACCGACACGCCAGCACGGAAATCTCCTGGCTCCCTACGGCAATACAGCGAGTCCCTGAGGTCCAGCAGTCTCACGGCCTTCTCGTGCCGCATTCGTCACTAGTCGCGCATCGATGTAGTTAAGAAGCCTAGTCTAAGGAACCGTCCCTGCGTGGCCGAAGTTCACTAAAGAAGGTTAGAATGTTAGCAACGTGACGTCCGCATAGTTTCACCTCGCTCACCTGACTCTCTCGTCCGGCACGGTCCCCGCAGGTGCCCCGTTCTATCCTCTGGGGCAGTGGAGGGACGCCGCGCCCAATTCAGCTCAGCTCGTGTTGTTCCCCGATCCCAGGGAGATCTGCGTGTCTCATTGTGGTGAGTATCCCACCTCCGGCGATCTGCGTCCGGGTCCTGCGCTGACACACCTTTCGCGGAGTTCAAGCATGAAGCTCCGTGTGCGACAATGGAAGTGGTACTGCCGTTGACTGGGATTGGACTTCACACACAGTTTGGTATTCACACGAGGAATGCCGAGTAGCTCACAAATTTCCCCTGAGAGTATGCGTGCCACGCTCGAAGCCGACTAGTGCTAAGCGGATTCTTGGCATTCTCCTAGGATATTAGAGCGGTGAGAGGCCGGTCCATATCTGGCTTCGTTGGATCGCATGCGGGCGTCAGACGGTACATTCTACAGATGTGGTGGGAGACCGGCGATCGCATGCAATCCGAATGTGTACAGCCTCGTGCTGATGTTCCTCAACTTTCCATTTGCCATCCCTTTGGGAATGGCCAAATGTCTTCGTGGTGCTGAGCGTGAAGGGCGTCAAGGTGAGAGTCTCGTTTGCGCCGGTCTCGTAATTGAAATAGTGGTGAAGGTCAACAACTCCTCATGGCCGCGCGCTTGCGGAGCGTTTTCGCTCACCTCCAGTAATGGGCGTGGCATCTAGCTTCTATATCTCGTCTAGCACATTCAGCACTCATCTCGGTCGCGTAACGGCGCGGTGCTGCAGACCCACAAGGCACATATGATACAACGAAACGAAGACTTGAAGACGCGTACTGCCAAACCTTCCGCGCCCGTGGACTGATTCCTTGCACGCAAGTTCTCGCGCCGAAATGACGCTGACTTCCGGCAGCAAGCGGCGGATTCCTCTTGTTCGGATGCGGTCAGACGCTTGCTTTGTTCGCCATCTTGGAGCTCCACGCCGTCGCATGACCACGGCCCGACGCGCTGCAGCCCTCCTTGCGGATGTGGTCGTCGTTGTTGAATGGAATTCTCTGTATGTGTAGGCCGGTATTGTCACCAGTCACGAACTCAGTCACCACAAGCATGTCTCTTCGGCCTAACGGCACTTGGGACGTGCAAGTACAGCAAGATCGTCACCTAGTCAGACATGACCGAAATCAACGACAATGTGCGTACCTATAGCCAGAGCCCAGATGTCGTCTGTTCACATTGCAGTCAGGTGTTCAAGAAGTTTACGGTCTTCTTATCGTCTGCAATAACTTCACCATACAGGCACCCGGTCACCGCATGGCGGGCTCCGGCTGCCACAAACAAGGTAAATCCATCGCTCATGGTGCTAAAGATACTTGCCTTCCCATTACGTCCCTGGCATGGTGAGTGCTTCGAGGTGCTTCCCCCTCCCATGGCAGCGATGATTTACCCCACTTAGTTCAGGTAGACCGCACGCCCATGAAATTACGATCTGCGCGCCCCGCCGAATCTGACACTATGAGGTACAACGTAGAGCTGTCGGACAGGATTGGGTCCCTTCTCGCGAACCACTGTTATTCACACGAGCGATTTCCTCGGAGGCTATATCAAACGTGGACGCCCTCTTCGCCGTCAGGCAGCGCGAGTTGTGCGCCTACTTAACTCCATACAATCATTACGTTGCGCGGCCAAGACACTAGTGCATCCGAACACCGAGGTACTTGCCCTGAGCTTGTTCAATCTCCGCTTCCGTCACCAGCTATGAAATCAAACAGGTGTTACGCGACGAACCGCAGCAGCCTGTCAGCATCTCATAAGGTTTCAGCACGACCTGAAGGCTTCCCTGCTTCCGATGTCGGATCCAGTATGATTCAGTATCGGCCCGCTCAGATGCTTCTATGACACGTCTCGCTTGTCGTGTCAAGGAGGCTGTTTGGTGGCTGACGGGTGGTTGATGGATGGTGCAGGTCGCCGCGAATGGGTGGGTATGCAGACATGCCGTTTTGGATGAGGCTGATCGCCATGCACGGAGGATGCGGCAGTTCGTTTCTTGCCGAAGTCTAGCGCACAGGAACACATTCACAGGGCTACATATCATCACGACCGCAGTGATTGCGAGGAATGTGTTGTCCTTCAACACCTGTGCGTTGAGCTCCTCCCTTCCGGTTCCCACCATACCAACCTCGCCGATCTCACAGGCAGAGAGCTGAAGGATCTTCCCAAATTGGGAGTAAGGAGGGCTCGTCTCATATCTGGCAGCGGCGCATTCCAGGATTTTTGACCCATTGCCATGGGTTGTTCCTTCCACCAGAGGCCAAGAAAGCCAGCCATCATTTGTTGTCATGGTTTCACTTCCCCCGTGCCCGCCCTCGACGACTTTCGGGGACCAGAGACATTCTGGGGCTTGCGGACTCGCACCGCGACGCGTGCGTGACTTCGTAGGGACCCTTCCTCACACGTACATTGTCTATGCGTTGGTATCCATCGCGGGCCCGCGACGGGAAAATCTCCCAAGGGGAGCGCAATGACGTTGAGCGCTAATCCACTAGGCTGAGGCGAACTTTACTGATACTATGTCCGTAAGCATGGCAAGAAGTGCTATTTGGGTGGCCAAAGCTGCCTCGCGCGCACCGTTGACAAATAGGACTATGAGTTCCATTTGACAGGTTGCGGCACGTGACATGTATGAGGAGCAAGAGAATGAATGGAAGGAAGCATCGCCGGGAAAGCTTTGCGTTCGTCCTAGATGTGCTTGGGAGTCATCGTTGCAATTGGCTGTGGAGAATTTGAGTTGGGAATGCAATAGGGCCGAGTCGCCCCGGGAAGGACGAATGATGTGCGATCGTCAGTGCACGGCGAGCAGTCAGTAGAGGGCCATACATAATCTGATAGTGGCGCTAGTTCCAGTCAGAATCCATACATAATCGATCCTACGTTAGCGCACGTGTCCTTGCTCCACCCCCTGACTAATCTCCTCTTTAGGTTGCATTCGTGCACAAGTAAGTAACACTCACCACGTAAAAAGAGATGCTGGTGAGCGAGGTCAATTGAATTCAAATTCGCAGCTTATGGTACCGTCCCTTGGATCGTGAACAGCTCTCGTGAACGTAGTCCGTCTATATTCGATTGTAAGCATGTTGCTTGAGCATTGATCTCTCTGTGCAACCTTGATCCTGTGAACAGTTGTCCTGTCATTCACTGTCAGAAAGCATCGCTATGGGTGTTTTGTTGCTAGCCATGATCATATGTCCTGTGCCGCAAGTCCATTCTTCGTTCTGTGACCGCACGCCACTGAAACCGTCCTCATAGGCTCGTAGCAGCGGGTTACCGGATGCTACCGCTCAGGGTGATGCGGGGAAGCCGCGACGCCCCTAAACGAGCATTGAGTACATCCGTCGGATTCATTGATCTGGACTGTTGTCATGATTGCCTGCCATCGTAGACTATCGTCCCTCCCGCCAATTGTGGGTGGTCGTGGGATTTCTAATACAAATTTACTCGGTCTAGACGCGAATTGTGCGGGTGCACCATGCCCGCAAGTTGTCAGCTGGCAGGACGGCGTCTATAGGCAATCTCGGGATTGCTACTCTCCCCGATGGGACAGGGGCGAAGCAGGGAGCCAGGGGCGGCATGCACCACCTCCGCGACGTGGGGCTCGGATGTAAGTACCGCTTTCACGGCAGAACTGTGCGGACTCGAATGTTGACTGCAGCGGTCCAGGGGAATGACGCTTGGCGCCGTTCTTGGATTGGAAGACAGTCTCGTGTTGACTGTTCCATGAAGCAGGTTTCCATGTCTATATATCCCCGAAGCGTACGCGAGTGCGCGCCTTTGGCCGGTCCTTTCAACTTACTGACCTCCTGTTGCCGAGTATGCCCACTATGGCCCTTCCTGTTCTCGATCTCGTCGCTGCTACGCTCAACTCGAGCAATGGCTCTGCTACAACGATTTTCGACCACCCACCTCCTCCGGTTCTGTTGGGCGGATTTGTCGCCCTATAGTGAGTTTCTTGAACCCTCTCGGCGGCCAAGTGCAAAGTTGACAGAGTATTCTGCATGCTCAGTCTTTCCGGCGCGGTCTTCATGCAAGTGGTGGTCTACTTCCAGATCTACCAGGCAGAAGCGTGGACGACGAAGTCGATCGTGCGTACAAATGTTTTGTGATCTGCACTGTCTGTTTATTTGAGTGCTTGCCAGGTTCTCGTCCTCTGGTCAGTGCAGCCTTCCATACGCTACGTGTACGGCACTCATCTAGTCGTATGTCAGGGTGCTCGACATACTACATTCAGCGATGATCTGCATAGCAAATTGGCAGAACCTGGTGGTCGACTACGGTGCATACAATACACTAGATAACATTACGTGGTCAATACCGGTACGTGACCCCGCATCGGTACTGGCGATCTCTGGTATCCTGATCCCCGAGCTCGCACTTGCAGGTGACGATCGCTCTGACCGTAGGCTGCTCAATAGAATGGGAGCTTTTATACATGTTGAAACACCTGACTTGCTAGGCACTAACAACTGCGATCATCCATTGTTTCTTCATCCGGCGCATCTTCAAGTGTACGTCATTGTCTTTCTATAGGCATCATCCGGCTTCATGGTGACCCCATTCTAGTGAGTCGAGGAAACTGGTTTATCACCTTGCCATTAGTATGCTCGTCATTTTCTTTGCACAGATACATGGATGCTGACGATCGCCATTAGCTGCTTCTCGCGCTGCTGCGAGTCGGTGAGTCATTTGTCTAGCCCAATTTAGATATGGTATAACGGGCATCCCATCATTGCGTGCAGTATCCGCATTCGGTAGGCAGTGAAACTTGGCAGTCAAATCTGTTCAGTGCTGACTCTACTTGGCAGTTACAACCGCAGAGATGTACGTATCGTAGACCGTAATGCCTTGAGCATCTTCTGAGGTTGCAACATTAGGCTTCGGTTACGAAGTTATGTCTTGTTTATCCAGGACTTCGCAGTAAGGACCCTTCGTTGAGATCCCCCACAGCGGTTGCTGAACTTCTCCTCAGTACATCTTCACCCTTGGCCTGGCTGTCTCAGCGGCTCTCGATATTCTCATCACTAGTATTCTCTGCTACTATCTCAGAAGAGGTCGCGAAGGCTTCGCTCCGTAAGTGGATTGGCATGTCTCTCCTCTCGCGTGCAGCTTGTCCAATATTTTTGGCACAGGATCAACCACATGATTGATCTACTCATTCTTTACACCGTCGAAAATGGCATGATCACATGGTGAGACCATCCTATAGCATGCGCCGCTATCGAGACTTATCGACTGCCTTCTGTAGTATCGCTACTGCACTCTCTTTGTTCTTCGTGAGTACATGTCCACTACAGTTGCGAGTGGGGTCTGATCTCCCTCTTCAGTGGTTGTTCATGCGAAGCAACTTCGCGTTCCTCGGGATGCACTTCGTAATCAACAAACGTACGCGGTCATGCCCCTGGATATCGCTCATAGCTACATAAGTTTGCTTCCTGACAGTCTATGCCAATTCAATCATGGCGAGTCTAAACGCACGTAAATCCATCGTGGGCAAAGTATCTGGGTCCGAACGAGGCTATCAACTCCCTATGATATTGCCTCATCATCCCCAAAGTCCCAGGAGCACTGACCACTTCGTGAGTCACACGGTTTGCACACCGCCGTGCAAGAAGTCTAACCTAGTTCACCTGGATAGTCCCGAGGACAGATACAGTCTACCAGCAAAGTACGTGTGACTATGTGTTTCATCAATATCCAGACTAACCTTTAGTTCGCTCATCGTAGCCGCTACAGGTGACGATTGATGTCGAGAGGACGGTACAGCGCGACGGGACCATCGACGCCGACAGCAAGTCAACATCAGGCGTCGATCTTAGGTTATCGCACAAGCCAATAAATGACAACTTCTCTGATATCAGGCGCCAATGAAGCTGTTTACAAAGTACCCCGACCGCCGCCGGGGCGGCTGTGGCGTGTAGCGCGTGCCACAGGTTGTCCTTACTTTACTTCGCACGTGCACGTAATTTTGGGACACTAGATTGAGGATCCGTCTGTATCATAATAACTCTGTCGTGTATCTGATCTATTCCCTTTCCGTGTTGACACGGTACCGAAGCATGGCGTTGCACGAGATCCGACCCACCGTCGGGATGCGCCGAGGTGGCCGATTCCTGGTCAGATTACGTGCCACCCTTGAGTGCAGCAACCTCGTTCCTTCATATGTTTCATTCATTGGTATCGATTAGATCCTGGGTTACTGTTGCAATTATAGCACTGAACCTAGGAGGACTGTAAGTGGGTACGGTTTGATGGATATTAGGCGGCGTGTACCTAATCGCGACTCGAGATAGAGGAGGGACCACACGCAGACTGCATCCGCCAGTATGATTCACTCTTCTATAGATTTTCGCGCTCTGCATGCGCTCCCACTTCGCCGAGCCTCGCTCGCCGCGAATACACACTGTCAGTTCCATAGAAGGGCATCGTCGCCCTCCTGACCGCGTCAGTCGGCAACGTAGAGTATATTTCGGGAAAACGACTACATGATGCTGTCATCCCCCTCTGATTCTCCCGGACCGACCGTCGGGATGATTGAGTTTATGGATCCTAACAACTACTGAAGGACTGACCTTTGCGCGCCGCCCGTGGCCCATCTATCAACCCAAACCCAATCATCCACAGATTTTCCCCTGGCATGGCTTGAAGCTGGCGGAGAAAGAACGAGGAGCTGCAAGCAGTTGTATAAAACAACGGAAGCATAGGGATGGCTATGGCGGATTCCCCGACCCCACTGCAGACTCTCTAAGGCCCACACGAGCATGACGGTCCGTCTTCCCCTGCAGGCTGTTCTAGACGCTTCCAACGAGGAGATGGCTACGCTATACCACTCCTCGGGGGCGATCCTCCTCGGTGGCCTAGTGGCGATGTTGTAAGCGCTACCAATTTCAACTCCGAGAGCATGACATACTCACGCGAAAATGATGTTCCTTATCCTCTAGCTTGTCGGGCGCGGTCTTAATGCAGGTCGTTCTGTACTCGAGGGTCTACACCTCGGATCCCATCAAGACGAAGGCCATGGTGCGTGTGTGCTGTCTCGAGCATGACATCCTTCAATCGAACCAACGGCGAACGTGGGGATAGGTTATCTTCATCTGGGTGCTTGACTTAACCCATTCCATGATGGTTTGCATCGCAAACTGGCAAAATCTGGTCGTAAACTTTGGGATGTTTGACAACTTGGATCATATTACCTGGTGGGTAAAGCGACCTTGTCTTCTCGTCTGATTCCGCATCGTTAATGTCCATTTAGGTCCATTGCAGTAAGCGTCTCCTAGCCGACGAGCGGGTTGAGTAGTGTTAACAATACGCCCGGTGTTAAGGTTACAGTGGCGCTCACGGTAAGTGCTATATGAGTGTTGATCGTCCCTCTTGCTGACTCTTGATCGCTCATACGTATGTAGGCACTGACGACGTTCATTGTGCATTGGTGAAGTACCCGTTCGCCATGCATCGCAGAGAAGCGCTGACTGGGCGAGCTGTATAGCTTCTTTTCTCATCGACTCCATACCCGTAAGCGAGGTCCTGATACTCAGAACATGCCTTCCCTTATTGAAAAATTCGTCACCAGTGAGTCGTGGAAATTGGTACATAACGGTACCTTTGGTGAGTGCTAGGCCATCAGAAGCACTGCAGCGGCTCAGATGGACGGTGTCAGATTGCCTTGGCCTCTGTTCGCCTCAGTGAGCCTCTTTGCGACATCGATCGCAGATTGGTTTCACTGATGCTTGCTCCGATTCGACCGTTCGATTGAAGTCGCCGCGATCGGTGAGCATGTTCACAGTGGTTACCCACCGAGCCTCATGTATATCGGTCACCGCAGTATCTACTATGGAGATGTCAGCTAGGACACAACAGATCACACCGTACGACAGGAAACTTACTGATATTGCTTATTTTCAGGATACGTCTGCGTAGCTTCGAACAATTTGTTAAGCGTTTTGGGGTAAGGTCATTTCAGGAGCCCAGCCGAATGGAACTGACCAGTTGCAGTATGTCTTCACACTGGGCTTATCAACGTCGACTTCTCTCGACATTGTGATCACTGGGACCTTGTGTCTCTATTTGCGGCGACGGAGGAGCGGGATGGCAAAGTCAGTTCAAGCGCTGATGCAAGCCCGCCCTTCTCATGACCTGTCTTTTACGCAGGATGGATCGCATCATCAGCGTTCTCACACTCTACACGGTGGAGAATGGGATGCTTACCTGGTACGAGCCCTTCACAGAAGTCCAGTAAATTAGCTCAGAGGTAGCCTCATGCTTTCCAGTGTCACCACGGCGATCTCCTTAGTGTGTGTACGTATTAAGGGAGATGCTCGCAAGTTCGTCGGCTGGATGCTGATCGGACTGCCCGACAGTGGCTGAAGATGTCGAACAACCTCATTTTCCTCGGTTTGCACCTGGCAATCGGCAAGCGTGAGTCTTCGTCCATTCGCAGATCCGGTCCGACTACCACTTACATTCCTCGGCTAGTGTACGCGAACTCGATCATGGCAAGGTCCGTGACCATTTACAGATATCGAGCCATTGATGAACGCCCCACCACTGACATTCCGCTGCCCGATCCAGCTTGAACGCGCGCAAGTCGCTCTCGAACCGGTTGGAAAGCTCTGGAAATAGTGATGGGTACCCATTGCCGGTGGTATTCCCCAGTTCGGGCTATAGTCCGCGGAGCCCGACTGCGCCCTGGGAGGTAAGTTCTGGATCGCCGCACCAGAAGCCGCATCGCCTCTGACGTACAAGACCCTGTCGCCATTCACTTACCTGACACTAATCGCACCGGCGATACGAAAGCTTCGCGCAATCTCTGCGCCTGAACCAGCGAAGGTGAGCTCCGAGGATATCAACCGAGTATGACCGAGGCTCAAATGACATACTTCTAGTCGCTGCAAGTGAACATCGACATCGAGCAGACGATTCATCGGGAGTTACCACTTTCGCAGCCCCTGGAGAGTAATTTTGAACGTCGAACGCATAACGGAAGCGATATTTCAGCTGACGACAAGCTTGCGTGAGGACAAGCGCACGTCGAGGCATTGAAGACGCCGCACCATACACAATCCCTGTGTTTGACAGGTCGCAATTGGGCGTAACGCGTGATCGAGATTCTTGGCGAGGTCCGTGGGTGGGGCGTGGGACTTGGGTAGACCACTATTGAGCGTGGAAATGTATCTGTACCTGGACCGACATGTTAAGGCTATGTTCGTTGGCTTGTGTTGTATCGTTATGTTTAGCGCAACGACAACATGCTGAATACACGTGTCAAGGCATGACTTGAGACGTCAAATAAGCCACCTCTCCGGGTTGCAAGTGCATCGTGGCATGTCGCGACCGCTTCCTTCCTATCTGTCACCGAAGTAGCTCAACATACTCTGTTTGTATGAGATTGCAAACATCGACAGACCCGTACGGGATACACTTGAGCGAATTGAGATCTAAGAGAACTCGCACCGAAACATACAGCCACGAGATCGCCGCACCGCTCCCAGCAATTCACTACGCCGACTCAACGGCGACAATACAGCCATCTCTCTACAGTAAAGTATCGGCGAAGCAGGAGTGAGGATGGCGGAGGCAAGAACATGATGGGAACCCTCCCATTAATAGTGTTATTTCTTCCCACCTCCTCCTGCCGCTGCCTGTGCTGCTTCCTCTTCCTTCTTCTGCAGATCCCAGAACACATGCGTTAGATATGTTGAGATTGAGCCACTGAAAGAACGTACCTTCTGCTTCTCACGCAGAGCTGCAGCGTCCCTACGTTGCATCGTGTGAGTGCCATCATTCAATGGGTAGCTCGCAGGAATGTGACGGAACGTGGGAGATAGGAAGCGTTTGGAAGCATGGCGGGGCTCAAAAGCGAGACTACTCACTTCTCGCGTCGCTGCTGCAGCGACGCCGCGCTCTCCTTGGGCTTGCCCTTAGCAGCCGTAGCCTTCTTCTGCGCCTTCAGGCGGTCCATTTCTCGCTGGTTACCGCCTACAACATTGTTTCCCAAGGAAATGGGGTAGGCCACCTGGAGTGAATCGAGACAGTTCGTAAAGACGGCCTGAAGATGACTTACGAGTCATCTCGCCGACACCGATTTACGGCGACACGTAGAGGTACAAGGTCAAGTTGGAATGCGATCAGCTCGCCGAATGTGCGCGAAGGCTCTGACCATGGTCACAAGTGTGACATCCGTTAGCGTCACGACTCTGCGTGTCACTGGCGTCTTCTCGTGAGGCATCGACGGTCAGCCACTTGGCAGTTGGCACTCACTACCATGGCCAGTGATACCCATCTAACTCTATGAGCCTCGAGAGCGACGGAGAACACATGAGTGGACCATGATTCTGTCTGCACTCATCCAAATTATGCAATTTCCTCCAGTATCAACATACCCTGCGTCCATCCTCAATACGCCGCACAGAATCGACGGGCAAAGCGACCTGGCTTCCTACTGCATGGCGCGCTTTCCAAGTTCATCGCTACCCTTCCTTTATACGCTGAGTATCAGACAGTGCATGCATGCATGATTACTGAGCCCTTCTCACACGTCCGGATCCGACGCCCCGTCCGGGTAGCTGACGCTATGTCTTCTGACGCTGATACAACCTCCGAACTTCGCTTCTTTTCGACAAATTCGAGGGCCTGGGTGAGATCGTGAACGCCTGGGGAAGGGACGGGGAAAATAGTTTGTCGAAGTCGCTTCGACTGAGTGTAGCTCTTGATCAACCATAGACGTTCACAAGTTCTCTCGTCATTGAGAGTCCTTCCAGACATGCATGATCAGCGACTGAGCTCACATCCCTAAGCTCATCATCGTATGGTCAGCGATCATGGTGTCCTGACGGACCACTTGCGAGTAGGGTTGGGAGCCAAGGCTTCGCAACATTCGGACCCCAGCAATGTCAACGACTGTGACTGGAACCTTGCAAGTGGGCTCGGAACGAGTTACACTCATAGAGACAACACATTCAAGGCTGCACTATCGACGATGGCGATCCTCGACGTAAAAGGCTTCGGCATTCACAACGACATATACATTCTACGCTGGTGCCCGCTCCGACTCCGGGGCTTCTCTACGGTGATTGGACGCTCAAACTTCGGTGAGCAGTCCCGTCTTGATGTCAAGGACAAATCCGTGCGTGCCCTTCTTGATCGACTCGCCCAGCAGCTCGTCAGCCTGCGCGATGGCCAGATCATCCTTTACGCTCTCCTCAGTGCTTCTTCCTCCAAAAGAACCCGTGTACCAAGTCTCGATCTCTGCTTTCTTCTCGGGATGCCTGTCAAGAACACATTGTCAGCCCAATCTCCTCTAGTCGAATGAGGTCGTCCGCTCGAACGTACCGAGCAGCGATCTCCGCCTTCACAGCCGCGTCCTTGAAGTGACTGGCCCCGCAGTCCGTGTGGTGCACGATAAGCAGCTGCTTGAGCGTGTCATGCCCAAGTAAGCTGTCGAGCACCGCGATCTCCTTCAGGGCGGACTCTACGCGCCCGCCGGTGTTGCGGATGACGATCGCGTCGCCCAGCTTGAGGCCGAAGAACTGGTCGGGGCTGACGCGCGGGTCCACGCATGTCACGATGACCGTCGTAATCGGCGAGAGGTTTAACGTCTTCATCTCGGACAGGTAAGGCATGGGTTGGTAGGAGGCCGTCGCGGCCTTGTTTCGCGCCAGGAGATCTGTGAGAGCTGGAGTGGCCATGATATGTGTGGAGGTGAGCGATGTAGACGGCTTTGCGACTGGCGGAGTAGATGCTGTAACCCAGAGTCGGGAGGATGCTGGGTTAAGTATCCTCGCAATAGCGCGGTAAGCGATTCCCTTATGGGGATTGAACAGTTGTGCTTTGAAACCCGCGCCTCTCCCCTACTCTGACGATGTACTAGCGCATGCCAGTAGTGAGTCAACGGCTGATGGCTGACTTATCTGAATCGTCTGCCAAGGCTCCTGGAGACACGCAGGGACGCCGTTGTGTCCCCGTACTATAATCCTAAAGCTCCCAGCAGTAGTCAGTAGATGCCAATCAATTACCGTCATGAGAATCCGTGTATTCAACCTGAGGAAGATTGGTCAGTGCCGTTTAAACGAAGTGCAGTCTGCTTATAGATCACTTAGGGTGGACGTGCGCAGGGGGAGATGTCCTCGTGTAGTTGCTGATTGCTGCAATCTGTAAGCCAATCCCGAATCTCAGAGTCTGGTGGACGATCGTGTGGGTCGAAATTAGCAAGACCTGAGAGCGCGGGGCGAGGAATCTAGTCTTCCCGTCTAGAAGCGATCTTTCGACAAATGGCGGCGAGCACGGATCCCGCTCCCGTCTGCGTGCAGAGACACACAATGTCTGCCCCTGCACCGAGTTCGATGTTTGGAATAATGTCAGAGACGGTCTCTCTCAATAGGCGAGTTGCAGCTGACTACTCTGCGGGGAACACATGTAACCATTCAACACCCACAAGTTTTGTAGGTCTTACCTGAACAGGTTACAGCTTCAACTTCTTCCTGAGAGAACGGTGGGTCGGAGACAGTGGACAGCCGCATGAGTGCATCTTTGGCGCATGAGTGCTGGGTATAGAATCAAGTTAGTCGTTAGCGACAGTGGGAGGGGCTGAAGGGAGCGTGCTGCGTGCGGCATTCAACCACAGTCGATACTGAGACGACACAAGTACTTCCCATTCTGAGCGAATTCCCCCGCATGCCTATTCTGCACAAGATGTCATAGATGTCATGGATGTTGAATGCACCGTATGTTTTGAACTGATGCGCACGTACTCCTGCTCCAACGAAGAGTCCCCTCCCTCTGAGCTGCTTCACTTCGTCCCGGACGATTGAGCCGCCGGTACATCAGTCGCCTCCGTGTGATTGATCTCAAGGCGTGACAGCCAAGACGACTCTCGGGAACAACAAACGTACGGTTGCACTCATGAAGTCATAGTGAGAGTTTGTGTTACTCGTTCGATGAACATGTCTGGACTCCTGGTGCTGCCAAGGATCCTGACGAAAGGAGGGAAGTACGACAGCGCTCGCGAGACATGCCAAGAATGTGATCTTGACGATGTGGACTGACCGTCTACATATGTAATTAGCCTAGTGGTAAATAACTTCAAACAATATGGACCATGTTACTTACCTAGCAATCGTTTGACAAGTCTCGAGTACAAGGAACAGGCCCTGGACGTTCAGCTATGGCGCCAGTGCTCGGCTACATAGGGTGCTGTGGCTGCCCTCAGTGGCCGAGTTTGTGAGACGTGATTCGCCTCATAATGCATTGCATGTCTTCCAGAGCTCTAGAGGACCACAGTACTCAAAAGTCAAGACGGGATGGCAGATGCGCACGAATTTGAAGCCGGCAGCATCGGGCGCCTGATTCGGCGTCATACACCATCCGCTTCTCGACGTGCCGTGGAGGAGATCCCCACGTTCATGTTCCTGCAGTCCCCCACCGTGTGATCGTTCAAGCTTCAAGAGTCAGCACAGGCCACCGTCGCGATACGAATATTCACGCTAGTGAGTGGCCTCTCGAACTCATGGCGTTTACAGATCCCGAGGGAGGTCAGGATCCCACAATGTATCCATGTGTAGAAATGTCTCGGGTCCCGGGATGTGAGTGCTCTTTTCTCATGCTACAGCAGTATCGTTGATTGCCCTTCAATGCATGTGTTGTGCACCATGCTTATGACCTGTGCGCGCCACGCAGGGCCAACACGTCGAGGAGGCATCCATCGATTCACGGCACGAGACCTTGTATGAAGCGAATTATTGCTTGAACACGCAGTTTAGCTCGATCGCTTCAGTGCTTATATAGCCTTATCACATGTCGTTCGACGACTACAATCCAGAATGGAGAACGTGCGTGGCTACGAGCCTTATAGGCCGAGCGCCTGAATGCTGCGTTCCGTGTCAAGCACGACGTGGCTGCGCAGCGGACCAGAAGTCCACCAGAGAAACTGAAGAACAACACAACCACGATGCGGTCCGAACCCCACTGATATCAAATTTCGCTAGCAATGGCTAATTCTGGTCTAGTGGCTCTAGCCTGGGCCTCCTACTCTTTGATCGCCCTGCTTATCAGCGGAGGTTACTATGATTTGATACCGGCGGTACGAGAAGCTGTCTGCATTGAGCATCTGACATCTGAAAGTCAACGGTGCGTGTAGGACATCTGACCGCAGACATCCTTTGGCGCTGAGGTTACACGATCTAGATTTCCAGAAATCCCACCAAGAAGCAGACATGATGCGTTCGTTGACCAGTCACTTGCCGAACAGACGTATGGACATGGGAGTGCGTGTCATTAATCTGAGTTCGCGGCAACCGTGCCTGTGCCCGCGCTCTCGGAATGGTTACCTTTCATTTCATTCTTCTGGCCCCATTCTCACAATGCAAGTGAAGGTCTATTTGGCACTTCGCGAAGCGTCGTCACACATGCAGGCGTGGTGTCGTTTGGTTTCCTATTCACTATCCGTTTCATGAGACGCGCCTAACCGTTCTCGAGTAATTGACGTCGACTAGTAGCTTGGGTACGACCAGCACTAAGCTCGATCTGACGATCGCCTCCTCCCCAACGTAGGGACGCTCAGACTCATCGCCCCGCTGTTGCTCTAGTTTGCACAGTCCAGCGCGCATCCCTTGACATCGATATCATCTCATTCACTTCTCCGCAACGTCATCATTGACGATATCAGCCGCCTCGTGTGGCAGCCCCCGTGGTCCAGTACACAGTGCACAGGTATCGACTAATCAGGACAGGTGTCCACGGAGGGCGGACAGTTCCATCTGGATATGGTGGTGCGTCTATTAAGCTATCTGTTCGTGGACCCTGAGACCCTGACGAACTCTAATCCAATATCAGCTCATATGCGGAGAATCCTGCAACGAGGATCAGCCATTGGTACATGGAAGCGTGCGACGAGCTCAAACTCACTGTTCATCTGACACGCATCTCAAATATCGCCCTGGGTCCGGCATCCATCCGCCTGACGCACCGCCGCCGGGACATAAGCTTCCCTTCAACACCAGCGTACAGTGCAAGCAACGCAGCGAACTCGTGCCTCAACCGTTCGTACGCGCATGTCACAGGTTGCTCGAAGGGGTTTTCTTTCTCCGCAAACCTTCCCTGCTCTGTTCGCCGCTCGTCTCCGTCAGCAATGGCCGTAAGCGGAGAAAGCCCGGGGAGCCGCGCGCGGGTCAGGAATAAGCTCGTGCGAAGGACGGCACCAATGCCACTTTGCGCAGCGGGCACGCCCTCTTCAATGAGAAGCGCGGCCTCTTTACTATCTGCCACGCACCGTCACGAACCCGAACGTCCCTATCGCGATCCAGCATCCGTCATCCTGCTTCGTGGCGTTCCCATCCTTTCCTCTGCCGTGGGACCGTGCCACAGCGAGAAGCCCAGTCATGCGTGAGCATACCAGGCATCTTGTTATCCGGAAGTCCCGTGGGACGCTTCTCACTCTCCGAGGAGGTCGACATCTGACCTCTATAGGCTCCGATCGCCCCCTTTTGCAGCATGCCGAACCCCGCGAGGTGGTGCACCACGCAAATGAACGCGCGAAGCCGGGTGCCAACGCAGCTCGCGCAGTTCCAATGTTGCCGCAATGCGGATATGGCCAAGCTACTTCAGGTCCGGGTTCTGGCTATCCGGAAACGCCGGAGGGCGTTTTCTCCGCACTGGTGGGTCCTGGTCGGAGGCTATGATATTCTCGGATGATGGGAGTGCGGCGTGCAATACTCACGCGATGCATCTTGATAGGTCGGCCGGATGCGATCCCTTGGTGCCCGACTGCATTCAGCGCCCTCCCGCGCTTTCGCCGCCTTACCCGCGGTCCACCCCGCAATAGTACCCTCCAAGGGTGCCCAGAATCCCAGCCTGAGCTGCGCCTGACCAGGAGGACTGCCGCACTGTTCCGCCGGGACGTATCGCAGTCCGTGGCCCCAGAATAGCACGACATGCTTGACGCGGCTGACGTGAGGCCAAGCGAGCATACAGGCAGCCCAGCTACGACTACGGTTGCTGCGAACGAGGAACTCGTAATATTACGAGCTGAGTTCGCACCGGGAGCTATTCGGACAGGCTTCGCCGCTACGCTGCTACTCCGAGCCTATCGCCCCCACTGTGCCGCTGTCCTGAGCGTCCTGGTTCTTCCCTCGGATCTTCTCTGCGCGTGAGGGGGCTTTGCTGGGAGGCCTGCAGCACCTGATGAGGCCCTGCAGCGGCTATTATAGGTCTAGGGACACGAAGATTCGCAGGCGATGGGATGATCCCGCTCCTAGGCGATACAAGGAAAGCTCTCACACCAGCTCAACTCCGCGCTGTCCGCCTGGGCCCCGGGTTCCCCCACCCTCGGTTCTGGAAAGCACGTCGACGAGCGAGCACCCGTGCTGCCAGCGCAGAAGGGCGGATCGTCTCCGCTTCTTCGTCTCCGCGAACGCGCTGCCCAGTTCTATCCGGTTCGGGAGGAGAAGGCGGCTAGGATTCGCGGACACAGGTCACCGCGCGCTGCCATTCTCGCACCGTGCGAGCTTCCCGAGCCTGGAGCCTGCCAAGGTCGCTATGCATTCCCTCGAACACCTCCCCCCCTCCTCTCCCTGGGTGGCTCGCGCGACGCGAGGGAAGGCAGGCACGCAGAGCTTTATGTGTGGCCGGGCGGCGGAAGCGGTGCATTGCTTCGGACGGCTCGAGGCTCCCCCTCGTGACCCGCGCATCCAGGTGGGCGAGTCGCGCGTTCGCATATGCGGATAAGGCGGACCACCCCTTCCCTTGTGGACGCGGGGAGCACAAGTTTTGATGCCGTGATTGGCTCCCCCTCGCGACGTGGCGTGCAGGCAGCCATTCCCATGCACAGCACATCCCCCCTTCTCCCGATGGGATTGTCGTAACATTCCCAGGCGTGCTGCATAAGTGCTAGTGCAGTGTCGCCCGCCGGCGATGGGCCTCAGCGCAGCGACGCCCGAGAGCCCTCGGCGGGATATGGTACGCAGGGTCCCGTAACGCCAGGATCGGGAACGCGCACCACTGCAAGCGGTGCGCCCCGGCTTTTCTGACCTCTGACGGCGGCGGCGTGATGCATTGCTGTCAGACAAGGCCACGGCCCAGGGAAGGCACTCGAAGACGTCTCCAGCGCGGCCACCCGGATCTCCCACCAATCTCCCGGCGCGCGCGTGCTGGTGGGTACAGTCGCCTTCGCGCGGCTGCTCAAGTTTAGGCTCCTGTCGCTGCCTGTACAGATCAGGCGCGTCTGCTTGTATGCGCGTTCTGCCTAGAGGAGGGATGGGGAACCGGAAGCCCAGGAAGGAGGGCGCGGGGGCCACATACATGCCGCAGTCCGGCGGGTCATCATCTCTCCCATACCGTCACCTGGAGAAGGAAACGCCCTTCGCCGCTCTCGTGACGACGCGCTCTCGTCTGGGCGTGTGCCGCGAAAATCGGTAAACAAGACGACAACGTAAGAAGCCCGCGCGCGCACGCCGCGCACGAATCTCGGCGGATCGCGTGCTGGGACCGCGCTGTCCGCCACGCCAGTGCCCGACGCGCCCTCGGAGGGGGTCGGTGATTCACTATTTTCTAAATCGCTCGTGAGGGTGCAGAACGCGAGCTACTTGCGTCGCGCCAAGCTGAGGGCGCGCGGCGTCCCTTGTTCGCAACTACCGCCGCGTTGGCGCGAGGACGTGGATATGGCTACCCAAACAAGCTTCTGAGTTGGGACAAGGTCGCCGTTGCGTGCAGATGACATGACACCACTCGCCTACCGCAACACGCGTCGGCATTCTGCCGGGACCCCCAGACGGCGGCGCAATTGCCTGCCATTGGTGGGAGCCGGACGGCTCACGAGGGCTTCTTGCATTCATCCGTTTAGGATCATCGACCTTCGCTGGAGAGCGTTCGAGTTCTGCGAGCTCATTTCCGCCCTGGTTAGATGAGCGGCGGCGATCTCGCGCTGCTGCTACGCATTGGCCTGCCGCAGAGTCCCAGACGTGGGTGCCGTCACGTACACATACGTATACATATACAGCCCTGTCCCAGGATCCTGCCCGGCGAACGCTCGCTCTCGCGCCTGCTGAGATGTTCACATGACGTCTTCCATTGAGGTGATACATAGATAGATCCATCGCCATCGGACGCCGTCTGAGACGCTCCGTGCCTTGGACGACTCGCGCCAGCTCCGCTTCCCACGGCCGCACTACCTCAGTAACGCTATCACGCCGCCCGTCACCGCGTCACCGGTCACCGGTCACCGCCAGGAGACACGAAGAATGGTAGCCAAGCCTTGTTGCGTCGTCGCTGTGGCGCGCAGCCGCCGAACGTTCGAACCGCAGGCTGGCGGACTGCCATCGTCAGCTGGAACCTTCCCCGCGTGAACTGCGAGCAGTCTAAATCCGAACGGCAGCCTCCACCCCCGGATGCTGAGGCCAAAAATTGCAGCCGCCCTGGGCCGTATCGGGCGTGCCCCCTGCCAAAAGCCGGCGACCTGATCGAATTACCCCGCAGCTCAGAGGCGCGTCGCGGCGGCCAATCGAACAACACCTGGAACGAGCCAGAGCTTCTGAGGGTTGGAGAGAGAGACGCGGCATGTCGGCTCTCACCCGTCTTGTGATCAGTGATTGGTCGACAGCGGCGTCTCGGTATGTACACTTTTTGCGCCGGAGCCCGTGCGCGGAGCTTATCCTAGCGTTTCCGCAGGTTTGTTTGCGCGGGCGCCCCGCAGTACCTGCATGCGCTGATGCACGCTTACTTCTAGAGCGCGATCTGCCGTCGTCGCTGTCGCCAGCGGGGCGGACACGTGGATATAAGCGCGGGTTCCGCACGAGTACGTACGTGCAGAGAGCCAATCAACACGAGGACGGGTCGCCCGGCAGGGATCGTCCGTGCATGCCGCGAAGCTATCAACGCAGCGAAGGAGGTACGTACAGCTGGCAGGAATGCTAAGACAATCGAGCACCTACGGTCCTGGCGTTGCCGCCGGCGGTAGCACGCCTGCTGTCGTCGAGGCGTTACCTGCATGTATTGTGTCATGTCATTTGCCTGTCGTGAGCCGGGGTCTGGAAGCGCGAATGCCCATATCGGGCCCGCGTTGCGGCATCTGAACAGTTACAAGACACCGAACCGCACCCGTTCAGGCGGACCCAATGGACACGCCTCTCGGACACGCTGTCAAACAGTCGACTGGCGTGCACCCGGAACGCTAGTTTGACATCGACGCTGCAAGGAAGTGGGAACAATGGCGTGCTCGCCGCGGTGGTGCCTCACGATACCGACCTGACGACAGCGCTGCGACGTTTGGCTAGCACGCTGGGCAGCCGCCCGAGAAAACGTGAGCACTGCAGTCTGTGATCGTTGGACATCATGACTTCTGCTCCCCTTGCATTGCAGTTGCGAACAAGCCGCATGCCCATGGCCGGGATCAAACGGAGGTCAGGCTTAAGCTCGTGTTTTTGGGTCAAGAGGCGAGTGGATGATCGTCAGGTTGAGATGAGATGAGAGCGCGTCGTGAGAGCTTCGGAGGCGCTCGAGGGCGGGCAGGACAGATAAGATCAGCGGCATCACGGCGGTCCCGCTCCTTGGAGTGTGAGAGCGGCGTGAGGGGCGTGGGCAGCTGCAGCCTGGGGGGGGACGTCGGCCGGTAGAAGGAGGCTGTGTCGCGAAATTGGCAATGGAATGGACCCGAACAGATCAGCCGCAACTGGTGCTTCGTCTGCCCGAATCGGCAAACCCTCCATTCAGGCCGCAACGTCACCAGGGTCGCGGTGGCGTCGATGCTGCAAGGACGGTGTTTCCCGCGGGGGCGCGTATCACATCAGGCTGCAGGGATTCCATGGGAGCCCGACCGAGCCTCAGGCGTGAAGATCCATCGGGGGTCTATATGCGGTTAGCCCTCAGGACGCAGGGGCAGCGCGCGCGTGCACACGGTGACCCTCTCCCTCGGAGTTCGCCTCATTATGTATGGAGCAGAATTCTATGCCCGAAATGGACTGAGGTTGCCAAATAGCGGACGCGAGCGGGGGAACAGATCGCAGATTTGATCGTGCGGAGCGGTCGCGTGCCCGCCCGAGCCGCTGGGTCCCACACCCCTTCGCGTGGGGGGGCGAGGCGACAGGCGAAACCTTGTTGTCCATACGTCCGATCTGGGCGGCGTCGCCCGAGACCCAGACAGCCTTCCCTCCCGTCACCGTCACCGTCTCGTGCGGCTTCGGTCGTGGCGCGTGACCCGACTTATCCACGCAGCGTGGCGCGACGCCAGACGTGCCCCTTCTGCAGGCTTCTGACAGGGATGTTGAGTCAGGATAAGCGTGCAAGGGTGCAATAGAAGAGGCGGAATCTGGATGGAGCGAGACGCTGCGGACAGGGTGTGGGAGCGTCGGCTGTCGGGAGCGCAGTGCTATGCGGGCAGTTGCTGCATGGCGGCGCGGGCTGCTGCTTCGCGATCTGTCAAGGGGAAGCGGGCTCTGTGTTGGAACAGAAGGGCAGAACATGGCGTTTGGGTTTCTACTCTGGGGAAAGCGCGTTGCGCTGAATGGATCATGATGGCAGCGGCCGCTCTCCGGAGTGGGATCAGCCGCGCATCAGGCAATGGTGCGGTTTCGAACCGTGCAGCCGTGATTGGGTGATGGAGCAGCTGGGTGGTTCTGCATACAGTGGCTGCGAAGGGCGGCGAGAGGCAAACTCTGATAGTAACTTATACAGGGGTGACGCTGTATGAATGAATAATGACGAATGCGCGCAGGAAGAAGAGTGATGTCCGGATGGTGGCGATCTGCAAGGCAGCTGCCACGAACGGGTGAAGGAACATGAGTTTGTGGCGGCGGCAGATGAAGGCCTGGAGAAGGCCGGCCGAAGGAAGGGGAAGAAGCTCATGTGGAAGTGCATTTATCGCGATTGGAGTGGACGCAGGCCAAGGAGACGATTATCGCGAGGAAGGGGCCGGATTGGGAAACGCCTGGAAACGCTCGCAGCGTGGAGGAACCAGCCGGCGACCGGGAGGCGGCAGATGGGTTAGCGCGGCGGACAGGATCGGAAGCGAGGAGGTGGCATGAGGCTTTCAAAGACATGAGCAGTGCAGGCCGGTGTGAGCGTCTGCATCGGGCATAACGATGACACTGAACTGGAGAGAGGCGATCTCGATCCAGGAAGATTGGATAGTTGCCGAAGAAGGGCCGATGGGTCGGGGGAGCGGTCCCCTGATATGGGCATTTGCATTTGCTTGGAGACGGGGAAGCAGGCGCGCGTCCTGGCAGAGAGATTCCATCTTCCCAATTTCTGTAGGCGCCGGTATGAGCTCTGGGGAGATCTCTGATCGCCTTCCTCTGCGCCCTGATCTCTCTCCCGCAGCCACTTATATACTCCTTCGCCCAAACTCGTTCCCCCTTTCGAAATCGCCTCCGTCTCGCCCCCTTCCTCCCCCGGGTGTCCCACTCCCGTCCGTTCTCGGTCGTCTCCCCCATCCCTCCCGCACGATGTCTATCCGACACACTCCCCGCCAGGCGGAGCGGGACATCCGCCTCCACGACCCCCACCACTCGCACTCCCTCCCGCCACCCTCACATCCCCACCCCCATCCCCCTCATCTAAACGGAAACGGACTCGCCACCCCCGCCGCACACGCAGGACCGTCGAGAGGCGCTCCCCTCGCTTCGCAGGTCCTCTCGCCCTCAGCCCAGCCAGCAGCTGCGAATGGCGAGGACAAGACAAACCCGCTTCACATCTTGAACCAGGCAAACGAACAAACGTGGCTGATGATTGGTGCGTGGGTTTGGGCGTCTGCGCGTCGGTGGCAATCAGGCTGAATGTTCGAATCACAGGTCGAGTAGCCGAGCAAATGGGCAACCTGGAGCACGCGCTTTCTGCATATGAGAACGCGCTTCGCCATAATAGCCATTCCCTCCCTGGCCTTACCCAAGTCGCTGGGATAGCTCGGATCAAAGAGAATTATCCAAAGGTAACTGTCAGATCAAACTCTATCCAAGCCTCTTCACGCCCTCCGTCTTACATCATCAATCACGCTATCAATCGCCCGATCTATCTGCGGTAGACGCTGACGCTTGTCTCTTTCACAGGCAGTCGAGTATTTCCAGGCTGCGCTCCAGGTCCAGGGTGACAACGGCGAAGTATGGTCTGCCCTTGGTATGTCCCACGCTCGCCTACTCCCACAGCCCCTGCTCACTCCCACGCAGGTCACTGTTACCTGATGCAGGATGATCTGCAAAAGGCGTATGCCGCATACCAGCAGGCGTTGTACTTCCTTCCCAATCCGAAGGTACGTTCTCCGACACGTGGTCCCGGACACGCCGCTCATGACCACCTATCCCCCTTAGGAGGACCCGAAGCTGTGGTACGGCATCGGCATCCTCTACGACCGTTATGGCTCGTTAGATCACGCCGAGGAGGCGTTCTCGTCCGTTCTCAAGATGGATAAGGGTGAGCTTGCCTCTGCGTGAGCTACTCGCGCTGTCCCGTACTCATTTACCAGCTTTAGACTTTGACAAGGCGAACGAGATCTTGTTCCGCTTGGGCATCATCTACAAGCAGCAGGGCAAGTACGCGGAGAGCCTTGAGTGCTTCGACCGCATTTTGCGCAACCCGCCTAGTCCGCTCGCGCATGCCGACATATGGTTCCAGATTGGGCACGTCTTCGAGCAGCAGCGTGATGTACGTTCTGTCTTGTAATATATTCAGCTTCGGTATCCTGACATGACCTTCATAGCACGTTCGTGCGAGAGACGCCTACGAGCGAGTAGTCCACGAGAACCCCAATCACGCCAAGGTCCTGCAGCAGCTGGGGTGGTTGTACCACCAAGATGGTTCCACGTTCCAGAACCAGGAAGCTGCCATTCAATATCTGACCAAGAGCCTCGAGGCTGGTAAGCTGATGCAGTGGTCCGATCGCACATGACGTATTGACGTGGTCATTGTCAGAACCCGGTGACGCGCAGAGCTGGTACTTGCTTGGTCGTGCATACATGGCAGGTCAGAAGTACAACAAGGCGTATGAGGCCTATCAGCAGGCCGTTTACAGGGATGGTCGGAATCCGACCTTCTGGTGCTCCATTGGTGTCTTATACTTCCAGATCAACCAGTACCGTGACGCGCTGGACGCGTACTCCCGCGCCATCCGCATCAATCCGTATATCTCTGAAGTATGGTTCGACCTGGGCAGTCTTTACGAGAGCTGCAACAACCAAATCTCCGATGCCATCGATGCTTACGCCCGCGCCGCCGAGCTCGACCCCACCAACACTGCTATCACGCAGCGTCTCGCTCTCCTCAAGAACGCTCAGGCAACTGGTCAAGCGCTGCCTGCTGCCCCTGGCCCCCAGGATGTGCACCCAACCGCCTATGCAAACCCGATGATGCCACCAGCTGGCCTTGGCGGACCTCCGCTCATGATGCAGGGCAGCACGCGACCCCTGTTCCCTTCTGATGCTCGGAGTGGGCCGACTGACCTTCCTCTACCGGTCCCTCCTCAACTGCAGAGCAGGAACTCTCCTGGTCCTTTCCGCGGTGGCCCCCCGCCTCCCGTCGTCCTCGACGAATCACGTCATGCGCCGTCGCACGCTCCTCTGGCGCCCATGGACGTGGACAGGCCGCCCATGCGGGAGCATTCGAATTCTTTCCCCCCTCCTCCCGGTCGCGATGTCGGTCCTCGTGGACCGGCTGGTGGCCTATTGCACCATCCTGCGCCCCAGTCACAGGGTCCTCCGGAGGCTCTCCGTCACCCTCAACACCCACATGAGTCTCCCTTCCACCCCATGCGCGTTCCGTCAACGTCTGCGTCTCCCCCTCCATACGCGCGTCCTCGCTCGGTGATGATGAATTACCCTGAGCGCCCCCCTCTGGGCCCTGCGCAGAGCTCGAGTGGTCCCAGGCGATCGTCACCGCCTCCGGCGTACCCGCGCGAGGAGCCTGGCTGGAACCGGCGGGTTCCTGTGGAAGTCCCTGAGTGGGATCGCGAGCCTCGTGGACGTCCTGTGGACTATACCCGTGCTCCTCCCTCCCACATCCATTCGCGCCCTCACTCGCCCCCTGTCCCTCAGCGCCGGAACAGCTCGCGTTCGGCGCGAGACCGTAGTCCTCCGGAGGTTTCGCCACGCATCGCGCACCCTGGGTACCCAGGCAGCCAGTATTGGGAGCCCAAGACCGGTGTGGCCGGACCCGCTCGACGCGCGTCTCCCCCGCCGACTCGTCCACCTGTGCACGAGATGGCGCATGAGTCTGCTGGTCGGCGTTATGACCCTGCGCGCGAGTACGAGCGAGAGGTGATGCTCGAGCCCCGTGGGCCTGATCCCCGCTATGCCGGCTCCCCTGACGCTATCCGCATGCAGATAGGCAACCAGCAGCAACTTGGTGCGGGCGCGCGGACTTCGGAGAGTCCTCACCTGGCAGCCCAGCAGGCGGCCCAGCTCGGCGACCCCAAGCAAGGCAGGCGTCGTCAGGCACGCGACAAGGACGCCGAGTCCAACTCGTCTGGCACGGCTGGCGAGCCCGCCAAGAAGGAGCGCAAGCGTCGCGCGCCCCAGCAGAAGCGCGTCAAGGAGGAGGGTCAGCGTCTGGACGGCCAGTACGAGAACGGCCCGGTGCAGTCCGCGTTTAAGCTAGAGTACCGGCCGACAAAGGGGGTGGGCAGTCCTGATCCCTCTTCGAATGGTTCCGCGTCCGCCAGCAGGTCGGTGCAGCCCTCGCCGACGAACTCCACCCACTTTACGCCCTCTCGTCACCTCGACGAGGATTACGACGAGGGCGTCGCGGACGCGCTGATTGGTCTCAAGAACTATCAGCCGTCAGACCCTCGTGGCTTCGGTGCGCCCTCTGGGCCTGCTAGTGCCCGCCTGCCATCCGCTGCGTCGCCGCCCCAACAACACCTCGCGCGCCGTCCTTCGGTGTCGTCTCGCACGTCACCGTCGACGAACAAGCGACCGCTCAGCCCTGGGCCTGAGGACCACCCCGACGTCAAGCGTTCGCGCGTCGGGAGCATGAGCCAGCGCGTCTCGCCACCGACCAACGGGCGGCCAACGCCAACACCTGGATCCGGTACGCGTCTCAGCCCCATTCCCTTCCGCCAGCAGCCGACGTCGCACTCCCCAGACATGCGGCAGCCCCCTCAGGACAGCGCGCGGTCCTCGTACCCGCCGAGCCCACAGTTGCCGATCACCCTGCCACCACACCCTCGCCCGATCGGCGCTGGACTTGCGGGACACCTTCCGTCCATGACGACGACGCGCTCGCCGCCTTCAAACGTGACGAGCCCGGCGGAGGACGAGCGGATGCACTCGCGGTCGGCCTCGCCGCCGCGAGGGAAGATCATGCTCCACTCCGCGCAAGGCTCCGCGGGCTCCCCGGTGGTGAACTCGAAGGGGACGTCGTCGCCGACGTCGGGCAACGGTAACGGTAACGGTACCAACGCGCGTCCATCGGGACCTCCTTCGTGAGCATCGTTTTCTCTCTCCTGGCGTGTGGTGCGCGTGTCGGTGCAGTTGTTCATCGTCGCGTTTGCTTTCGTTTTGGGTGTTCTTGTCTCTCGATGCTCTCGTCGCTCGTCGTGCTCAGGCGGAGGAGCTCGGCTGTCAATGTGCCGGTTAGTGGGCGGTTCGGTTACTGAGCGTGGGGTCGTCGTCCGTCATCTGCCGTGGTTTGTAGATTGCCGTGTCTTTACGCTCGCTCATCTCGCCTCATCACGAATACTTGCTTTGTATGTACGCAGTCCTTCTACCCCTCCATATCGCGTTTTATCTCGTTTCTTTCTCGCATCTCCTCGCTTTTTTTCCCTGTCTCGTCTGTAGCTAGTATTCTTCGCTCCTCATCTATCCATCCGTCATGATCATGGCAGCTAGTAGGCATCAAGTATGTTTTACAGAATGCAACACAATACAAAGTACAATAGTGCAAAACCTGTACAGTATGCACACATGATATCCCTCCCGCAACCTCAATGCAATCTAGAATTCGAGTCATGGCTGAACGTGTATGCATGGCCTGCAGCTGATTGGCTAGGATAGCCGCATGGGTCTGGGAAGGCAGACTGCAACGAAGGGTCAATGCACGTGAAAAGTGTCCAGTGCCGAAATACGGGGAGATCAGGGGCTCCTTGGCAAGAGACCTAGCGAGCACTTTGCATAGCGCATTGTCGAGCCTTCGGGGCTACAATACATGGAAGCCACATATCAGAAGACAGGGCGTGCAACGAACAGCCTACAGCTCCCTGATATCACACCAATTATACGGGTACTAGCGTGTGAAAGGATATGCCGCAGGGAACAAGACAAGGCTATGGCAGGCCGCGGCCTCGTCGGACGAATTGGAGTCGATCAGCGATCGATCATTCATTGGGATCTACAATTCTAAGACCAAGACCCCAGTCAACTGAGGAATCATGCTCTGATATGCGAACCGCTGGTTGCAGGTGGCGCATATTGAACGCTTCTCAGCCAGCGTCGTACCCATTTATGAATTACGAAGGGGAATCGGGGGTCCGTACGAGGATACGGCGCGGCATATGGCGCGGCGCATTACGTCTTCGTGGGCATAGAATGCGGGTGAACCGGTGTAGAGGCCAGGCAGAGAAGCGGTCAGGACGCCGATCGTAGCAAAGGGAAACCTGCGGCTGGGTGCAATCCCGGGCACCCAAATTGCCTTGGGCGGATAGCCTGACGTTCCTGCATAAAATGAAGCAGTGGGACGATGATCGGGTGCTCATAGAACTGGCAAGACACGCCGTGTTGACGGGCCGTTCTAGACGAAGATGAGCGGCGTCGTTGAAGTCAATCATTATGGTGTGCGACGCCACTGAGTGTGCCTCGATCATTCGGGGGCAGAGGTCATCTAGCGTAGGGGCACGTTGCGGTTGCCGAGACGGGTCTAATACTCCTCGATTGAACCAGCTGATAGGGGTATGAATGAGATGCGATCGACCGGACTTCTCTGGTCCAGAAACCACGGTAGTCGGCCTCGGGATGGTGCGAGTCGGAGCAAAACATGATCAACCATTTGCGAGAACATCCGGAGAGGCTGCCCAAGCATGGCTGAAGGGGTATGTGCGCGACCGCGTGTTACGTGATCTTGCTGAGCGTTGCGTGTCGGAAAGGAGCAAGAGAAGCGAGAAGTACCGAGACTTCTGAACAATGTATGGTCCATTTGATTATCGAACACTCACTTTGAGCTGCGAGCTTCGCGTAGCTCGATTTGGGATCAACTACCAAGTTAAGCCAGTTCGATGCAGACGTTGCACAACACTCAAGCCGTTGACAAGGGTTTCGTGCAGGAGCTTTTCGGCGAACCTATCCACCTTCACAGGAATGGAACATGGCTCTAGAGGCTTGGAGTGAGACGGAAATGAGTTTGATCCCTACCACACACGGACGGTGATGACATGTTCCGATCTCACCTTCGTCGTCATAGACAGCCAGGAAACGCACAACGGTCCGAGGGAATTTGTGAGTTTCGATACTGGATCGCTAACTCTAACCATGTATGTAGTATGGCCGTCTTGTGCAGCCTACTATGTGCACTTCCCGAGGGTGATATGTACCGAGAAGTGGAACACCATGGTGCCCTCCCATGGTGACCGAGACCCCAGAGTGGCATCGGAGGAATCGACGACTAAGAAGGACCTATGTTCATGTGTTCAGTATGTTTGTATTTCACGCGAAGCGGTGTCACCTGTACACATTATGACCGCTGACAGATACTCACTAGTCCCTGGAAGCATGACGCATGCGCATACGGCATTGTAGATGCTGGTGGATGAGGTCGACATTCGCGAACGTTCGAAAAGGCTTCGGTCCGCAACGGAGTCGACTCGCCGACGCGATCGAGCCTCCACCATGAATGGAGGTGAAGCATCTATGATTTACCAGACAGGGCGTTCCGGACGGGAACAACATGAAGAGGAGATCGTAGTCAGATCAGGACGATCGATTCCGCCGGCGGGAGTTCAAGTCGACCAGCTGGCCGCCGGGGCAATTCTTGAAGCTGACGACACGATGACACGATTCCTGTAAGTTCCTGGGGCGCCGCCGCGTGGCCTGCTCGTGATGACACTCCTTCCCCACCACGGACAGGTGGAAAGGCTGTCACAAGTGAATGACAGCTTTCGGTCCGGTGTCATTTCTATATTGCATTGAGCGAGCTTACCCTCTGCCAGCGCGTGGGCACGGGTATGGTCATCCAGACGGCTCGGAAGGGTGATCGACCTGGCTTGTATGTGCCATGCTTCAACTGTTTCAGTAGCCCTAGTCCGCCATGACGGCTCCACGAGCTCCTTTACGGTAGGGGACTACCCGTTCCTGGCCCCGCGACACGGTCAGTGTGCACAACATCGTCTGGGCTCTACAGTCAGCATTTCTTTGTAAGACAGCCTGGTGCTGTAAGTCAACTCAACTTTCCACTGCTATACGGACAGTAATCTGTCAATACCTTCGCGTTTCGCCCCAATTACACACTTCGAGAAAACTATATGAGCAGTTTTGCGCAGGCAAAACGTTTCTTATTTTAGAGTGTGATCCAGTGCACATCGCGGATTGACGGAACGCGTCTGTGCGAAGCACAAGGAAAGCAACCCGGATCGCTGACAATAAAATAAGCGCGGCCGTCCAAGAGCGCGATGCAACCCAACCATCAGCATCCAGCATGAGAGGTGATCTGCTAGAGCCTAGGGAGGCCTTGGAAGAAAAAACTGAGCAGAACGAAGACGTGGGGTTGGAGGGCGCTTCATCAAGCACTGAGAAATCCTTCGCACCAAACAATCCCAACATGATTTATACAAGCTGGTGTAGCCTGGCCTCTGGGAAACATCCTCTGCTGCCCACAGCAATCCTGACCAGAGTTCTATGATATCCTGTAGAAAATGCCGCTCAATGTCGGTCAAGTTAACAAGCGCAAGTGCTCACCGTGCGTTAGTGGTGGCCATACAATCGCTAGTACATTCTCCTCTTACTACTCTTGCGCATGATACGTTCATCAGACGTCCCAAGGTCGGTCTAGGTGCTGGAAAGCAACGTTGGACAAGACATGAACAGACGCCCATTTACCGTAGAGCATCGTGCGCTTACGCCTGTAGTGCGGCGTCGGCTTCTCATGCCACACCCCTGGTAGCCCGGCTTGTCGACTGTCCTCATCGCCGTTTCACCTGCTAAGTATCAGGAAAAAGATCCGCAACAACCCCTATCCTTGTAGGTCACTCGAGCGAATCACCCATACAAACATCCCGGATACCATGAGTTCAGACTCACGCCCACCCGAGCCCGCACCCGCTCCAGAGCGTGCACAATCTGTCGTAGAAGCTCCAATTGCGCCCACGTCAGCCCTTCAACATAAGGCTGCAGCAACTTCGACAGTATTTGCTAGCGCAAACCCTTCACCCGTACCTCCCACACCACCACCCAAAGATACGCTCTCGTCCGGTCGTATGAACGAACCTTCCGCTCTCGCTCCTTCTACAGAACCCATACCACCGGCAGCATCCGCGATGTCTAAGCTGGGACTCAAGACCGCCCCTCCAGAGATGGACGAGCCAGACACTCCCTTGGTCATCGACATCTCCGGTCCCCGCCGAGATACCCCGGACTTAGACGAAGGCGAAGAAGACGAAGATGAGGAAGAGGACGAGGAGGACGAGGAGGACGAGGACGAGGACGAGGAGGACGACGGCGACGACGACATGGAAGCGGGTATGGACACAGAGCTCACAATCCGTGTCGACGGCGAGGACGTCACCCCGCGCGACTCGGACGCCACGGACGCTGACATGCCGCACATCGGGAAGCACACCGACGGCGGGTCCACGCTCTATGGCTCTACTGCTGCCGCCGGGTCAGGCATGGGCATTGGTTCAGGAGGAGAGCATGTGCACGAGCACCCGCTCAGGCTTGACATCCATCCTCCGTCACCCCCGCTGGGGCCATGGGACAGTACGCGAGAGAGGGACGACGACGACGAGCCGGGGGAATTCGGCCTGGCAGAACGTAGGGCGAGGGCGAGTCCGCACAGGTATGCGATGTCTGGGACGAAGGCGAACAAGGTGCACGAGTTTGGAAACAAGCGAAGGTGCGTGGTATCCGTTGCTTGCGCTTTTGACTGGGGACGCTGAGGACGCTGAGGACGCTGCTTGCTGCTCGGACCTTTGCTCGCACTCGTATCGCGTTCAGTCACAACCGTCCGCTCATACCTCATTCGTCGTATTACTTCGGGCCACCACCACCGGACTCCGCGTATGGCTCGGATCCGGTGGGGCAAATCGGTGTGCACCATCCTCGGGAGATCGTGCGGGTAGAGCGGGACTACACGGGCGGCGAGCTCCCACAGTTCACTCCCACGTACCCCCTGGAGCTTGAAGGACGGGTGAGTGTTTCTCTTATTGCAGTATCAAGTCGCCTTCGCATGATACTTTGGGGTGTAGCTCCGTTTGGCGTTATGTGTTGAGACCGCTTTTTTGGATCTCCCTATGGCTCTTTGTTTCCATGCGTGCTTCCTATTCAGCACCGGTGCCTTGGTCCAGACTTTGACATGGTCATGCTGCATGGTCTCCTTGACATAGTAGCACAACACTTCTTTCCGCCACACAGATTGGTGTTGTTCATGAAATCGGAAGCAGGGCATCAGAAGATGTCGGCTTGTGCACGCCCGTATGAATCCTCGTACTGGGTTCCTGCGTAAATGAGCGCGGGTTGGAGCTGCAAAGATTCTACATTGAACTGGTATAAGTCGGGACTGAGCTCATCTGAACTGGAGCATATTCCATTGCTCACACTGTTCTGGGCTGAGCTGTCTGTACTCTTCCTGTTCCCGCTCGGAAGACGCGCTCCGTCGCTTCGAGCCACAGGGTATAGAGGCGATATCATCTACTTGGCTCTCCTACGATTTTGCAAGTCTTAGTGCACACGGCCATCGCATTGAAGTCGATCAATTTCCAGCCATCAGACCACTCCAGATGAGCCGTGACCACTGACCTTCGCATGCAGATAACGCCGACCCAGTTCTTGGAGACGATCAATGCAATCAATGAGCTTCTCCTGTCAGCGCACAGTCTCAGCCATGCCTTTGTCGACAATGCTCTGGCGTACTTTACACTGCAGGTTTCGCGAGCAGTGAAAAAGACGCATTACGAGAAGGTAAATCATTGCTTCGGATTACACTCGGTATGTGAAGACAGGGCCGCTGACAATCACGGGATTATGCAGGAGATGGATAGGCTGAAGGCGTTGATCGACGAGTTGAACGTGCAAATGTACAACCCTGTCGGGCTGCACATCAAGTGGCCACGTTCTGTTGCCTTCCTCTTCGTACGTGTTCGTTCGGCCTTGCGTAACTCGACTCCCGGACTTACCGAGTTCTTCCCTTCCCTCCGCACTTCCCATTTGGCAGCTCGAGATCGAGTACTACGTGGGTGGTTACCATCGTCTTCTGTGGAGCCCCGAGTACTGATTCTTGTCTTCTCCCTTCTTTTAGTGACATGCGATCACCGATTTTCCCGAGCCTCCACGCTGACTAGGCGCGGAGGTTCAACTGCGAAGATTGGTTAGTAATATTGTCTATGACCGATCCTCCTTCTCTACAGCTTTGTCAGCCCCCACCGATCCATCACAGTCATCTCAATCTCGTTCCTTGCTACCGTTATCTCCATGAATAGCTCCTCCTCGCCGCTTTCTTCCCACGCACCTCTCGCCCTCGGTTTTTTCCAGCTTCCCAGGATCGACGTTCACCATCGAGTTTGAGATACCTACGGCACCCTCGCAACAACCACCCAAGTTGCATCTGCTCTCTCTTATAATTGTATTCTTCCTTGGGCTCCCTCCTTCTCAACCATGGGCACATCGTACATATATCGCATACCGCTACTTTGATACCGGACGCACGCCTGATCCAATCTCACTGTATTTTTCTATACGCACGTAGATAAAGCCAATGCGCACAACTTCCACCTCCCACAATCGAACCCGTGTCTCACCCTTGTACCCTCCTCTTCGTACAAACTCACGCAGCACAACCGAGACGCAATCTCGTCGGTTGCTCAACCCCACTCGGCACGGCCACATGTTCCGAATGTCCGTCGGACCGTCGCTCCCTTGTAAGGTGTTTCGGCCGTCCCTGCCCGCGGCCGCCAGGTTTCCAGGCCCGGGGGCTCCGAGGGGCTCGGAGGCATCAGATCGAACTGTCACCAGGTCAATCAGGGGCCGGCTATGACGTCGCGCCAGGCGCCGGGGCTCGCCGGGGTAAGGGACGGCGGGACTTTGCCCGCAAAGGTGCATCTCAAATCTTCGCCCTTGCAGCTCATGATGTTCGTCTTTCGATTGTTACAGTCACCATGCGAAGTGTCGCTCATCAGAAATGTAGAAGCATACGCGGCGATAAGGGCCTCAGGCAAGCCCGTTCATGACTCGCCCCGGCCCATGGAGCGATAACCGTTTATATGAAGGTGCACGGGAGCGAGTTCCCCTTGCAATCATTTGTTTGTGGACATCACAAGAGTTCATGGCTCACGTCAATAGCAGGCTGCAATGTCCGGGACGTATTTCAAACAGTACATCAACGCGTACCGATACCCAGGAGGATTCGCGCACTCCAGTGGTTCGCAACAGATTCCTTTGAGAATCGAGTCCATATGCAAACACCAGTACTGCGTCCTAAAGAGAGCCCATGAGGACGGAGGCCAGTATAGAACGTCACCCACGCGCACCAGACAGTTGCATGCCAGAGACATCGTGGGCACGCCATCATACGTACCTTAGCAACAATTCACAATGGTGCGGAGAATATGCGCATTCACGCCAGCCGTTCAGGATAGCTGTGATGCATCCATGTGTACCCAGCCGCACTTTGGCCGGACGACAGTCTCCCCAGCGGGACGGACTACCATTCCAGGCGTCTGGACTAGATTCAGTCGCCGTGTGACTTGCATGTAGAAGTGAGACTTTGTATGCTGAGAGACCCACCTCTAGACGTACCGCACTCACTCAATCTGTACACTGTCTGTTTCTGGATTGGCAAAACACAGTCAGTGGACATTTTCCGGCTCGAGGAGCTAAGGCGTAAGGGCCTGGATGGTCGCAAAGTGACTTGATGGGACTTGGAGAAGGACAAAGGAATATGTGCTGGAACAGTGCAATCGCGCAAGCACCGTTTCGGAGTCATTATGAAGCCGCAAGAGTGGATCCCCAAGGGCACAATGCAGCTCAACTACTGACTTTTCGACCTGAGATGCACAGTCGCCTTGGACGAAGCCGCCATCGGGATTCTGTCTGTACAGGCGCGACGCCTGCCACAGTCTCTAGCAATAAACTGCATCCGTGGTGCACGTACCGCCCACGTCGAATACCGAGCTCTGTGCCCCGCAGGCACATAGATTAGCGCCAGAGCTCCCCCTTGACTGTGTACCGTGAGGGCAATAGCGCCTCAGTGAACGTGCAGTGTGGTGCCCTCATGAATAGCACGTGAGCGCATGAGTCGCCTCAGTTGTACTCCGACCGCAGAACTGTGTCTTCAACTCGAGCCCGATGCGAGGGTAAAGTGGCTGGTACAATTCCCGGTCGGACAAGCGCCCCACTTCAAGAGCGAGATAGGAGCCGACGGCGAGAGGAGGTGTGGGTTGACCTGGACACGACTGTCGACGTCCGTCCGGCGGCCGGTCGTATGATCGATCGCCAACTTGAGTTCAGAAGAGCGGTGTGGCCAGGTTAAACTCTGTAATGACAGCGGAGGGAAGGGAGTGCTGTATTCGTTGACCATCGGGTTCTTGGGTCGTAGGCTCTGGCTCGGAGACAGCAGGATCCGAGGAAGGAGAGGGGCGGAGCCGGTTGTGGGTCGAGCGTGGGCGTGTCGCGTGTGATACCGATCCCGTCGCGAGCGGCGATAGACAGGCGGATTGTGGCTCGACTGTGACAGCCTGGACGCGCAGCGATGTGTATGCAGTGGGGTGACAGGTTCGACGCCGAAAAGTCGCACATATACCCACTGAGCATAGCCCTCAAGATCCTATGAATAGGGCTGGTCTTGGTCTTGACTTTGGCTCGAGCGACAATCTGTGAAAGACCGGATGACGTCCGTTCCGCCGCAGCACACCTGCTTGATGGTTACACTGACCATCTGTCAAACGTAGGAAGCTCGGGACTAGATACACCACTCACCACGCTGCGCTGGAAGTGCGACGCGCACGCATCTAACCTGTGTTGATACAACGAAAAAGTTTGCCTGTGTAAGCTTCAACTTTCCGGAGAAACCGGTCGACGCGCGTGAAGCCACGGCGATGCAATTCCAGAGCTCAGATCAGACCAATGAAGCGCAGAGATACTGGGAGAGGACGTACAATACGAACACTGCAAACTGTCAGGTCCATCTCGTTCGCGGCGACATCCATACTTTCCCGTGTCAGAGGCGGGGGTGGGGTCCATCGCAGAAGGGGTCCGCAGCCATCAATTATCAGGGATATCAGCCAAGCGAGTGCGACGTCATGTTGACAGGCTGACTACGTACGGTCCAGTTCCCCGTCTCCCTCTAGACTAGTCTTCAAGCCATCCTGGTGGGACTGGACAAGGTCCCATATGGAAACCACCGTCCAGCCGAAGGTCTGAAACTGATAAGCAGATGCGTCAGTGGGGATGAATAGACTACTTAGCCCTAAGTGAGCCGACATGGGTGGGATGGTATGCAGAAGAGCTGTGCAATGTGACATGAGGCGCATCATCCTTTGCAGACCGCCTGGTAGAGCCGTAGGCTTCAAAGGCGGGCAACTAATGTCGCAGTCTCCACAGCGCGTACGTGAGGTGCAATTCCTGCGGCCCGGATGAATCCGATCCTGTAACAAGGACGGGGCGCATATGCGTTCCCGAAGTGTCTTCGAGAAGATGGAGGATTGTCTTCGAATCAGCGTGGAAACCGCGTGTACCACGTCTGACCCCCGGAGGTTTGAAGGACACGCTAAGCGTAGCGCAGGAAGCCTTGAGTGTAAGGTTTGTACGTACACCAGCTTCGTTTTGATTTAAAAAGAACCCGCTCGAGGAGCTCCGGTCGGGGGTTCCGTTGACGGGCTTTGTCCGCGATGGGAGGGGGGGGGCGTCAACTAACATCCGGGTTGTTTCTCCAGGAAGCATTTCAAAGGAGGTGCGTCGCCGGGGAGCCTTTGGATACCGTTGAAACAACGGCGAGTCTGAGAGCGCGTTTGACGGCCGTGTCTCTTATCTCAAGCGCACCATGTAGGCGAATTCAAATCGGGGTGCACCTTTCGCCACTGAAGGTGCAGCTGGCGAAGAAGCGAAAGAGGGCTGCACACGCGGCATGGTGCGATCAAAAGGCCGATCCACGCGAAGCGAGAAACCAGATGGCAAGCAGATGGACCTGAGATTGGAGATTTGATCATGATTTGCATTTGCCATTCCGACGGCGGGGTTCGTTGAGGACCTGTCCCTTTTGAACACAGCTCGAATCTCGACTGATCGCAAGTGAGACGAATAAATCAAATTAGATTGAAAATAGATTTCAGGAGGAGACGGCCAGTGAGTGGAGCAAAGGTGCTCGTCCACACCTTTACATTGTCCACAATACTGAATGACTACGGCTAAGCTGCATGCCTGCTAGATAGCCACAAGCCTTGCAGCAGGCAGGCAACAAGGCACGCACGAAGGAGCACGAACGAACGCAAAGACCTCGGAGGGAGCCAGGTGAGATGCACGAAAGCGCCCTAAACGATCCGATCGTGCGCTACGGCGCAGATATGAGCGCGAACAGACGCGTTGGTTTCGAGCAGCCGGCTTCCCATATTCCCATACCCACCGGCTTCTGACCGGGTGCGCGCGCAGCGTCAGCCCGCCAATGAGCAGGATGCCGGACTGAATGGAGACACGCGTCGTATGCTCGTGCCGCGCAGGCAAGGCCTTCGAGACGCTGCCGTCCGCGTGTGGCGTGGAGGCTGGACAAGATTGGATTCAGTCTCGAACCCCTGCAGCTTGCGATGCACATCGCTGGCATTGACAGTCTGCCAACGCCTGCGGGTGGTCAGATGCTGTCCGGTTGACAGTCTACGGCAAATTGGGGATGCTGAGACCGATTAAGAGAAGCAAGGGGTCCGCGGACGGCGCCTATGAGCTCGGAGGGTCCGACCGAGGAGGAGCAAGCGAGGAGTAAAACGTTGGCACAGGATGGAGAGGGACTGCGAGGTGATTGGCGTTGGTTTGTGCGTTACTTTGATCATGGGGCTCGCGACAACACATATCGAGGCCAATGGGGAGTGGGCCTCGAAACATCAACCCGGTCGGGCATTGTCGGTGGGGCGCCGTGGAAAGCAAAGGTGTGGGCAAGACTGAGACGCAGGGTTGGACAAGGATTGCTATAAAGAATGTTTGAGTTGGAGCAAGCATGAGGGTGGAAAAGCGCAGATACGAAGGCCGGTGGTACGAGAAACGGAGAAGAATGATCTTCGGTGTGTTTCTGAGATATTCGTGTTCATAGCCGGCAGCCTCGAGCAATGTCGGACTGCTTGTGGGGTTCGCGGAGCCGGTGCAGGAGTCACAGGAGGATGGGCTTGTGTTAGTCAGCAGAGGCTGGGGACCGCACATCGGGCGCGGACGAGCGGGTGTCGAAACGGCCTGGGCGGCGACGGAAGCTTGCGCAACCTCCCCCCTCGGCGTTTCCCGTCCCGAGCGCCCTCCCGCACTTCATTCCCGCCTCCTCCGAACCCCTCCATTCCACTGGTTTCACTCCCTTCTCTCCTCCCCCCGTCATCACCCTCCCTTTCCTCCCTCCTCGTCCTCACCAGTGCTGAACACATCGGTTTCGGCACATCTCATCCATTCTTCGTCTATCCAGGAGCCCTGACAGCATACCACCGCTTTGCTTACTCAGCGCAGTCAAGCTCCTTCCATCCAGTCTCTCTAAGCACACCGTCGCCGCCCCCTCGATCCTGCTCGCCCTACCGTCATGAATTTCTCTTCGTCAGAGCTCCACTCCTTCTGGGACATCAATGCCCAGCAGCCCGATACTTTCTCGGCTCTTCCTGACGACGACTTCCTCGCTTTCCTCCAGAAGCAGTTCCCCAGTGTCGGCAGCACTAACCCGCCTCTCTCCATCGATAACCCCGACGGGGTCGACCCACAGAGCATCAGCAGCTTTCCTCCTAACCTCAGCCCCCCCTCGAGCGACTCGAGTCCTAGCCCACCGAGCACCCATAACGAGTCCAGTCTCTCACGGCGGCAATCAGGGGTATTTGGTAATGGTAGCACAGATCCTTCCGAGGACAGCTCGTTGAAGCGTAAGGCTTCCAACGATAACGATGAAGAACCGCAGTCTAAGACGCAACACACTTGTACGCATCTAGTCGCTTGAATCTCACAGCTTGTTTTGACTGTCATCCCAGCCAACTCCTCTAACAGCAAAAAGACTGTGTCGTCCGCTAGTGCTCGTCGTAAGCCAGGTGCTTCTCAGGTCAGGATAGATTATATAGTTGCTCGCAATGCTTTTCTGACGATCTTGGTAGGATGAGTCTCGCCTGTTGAAACGTAAGGAGCAGAATCGCGCAGCCCAACGTGCCTTCCGTGAGCGTAAGGAGAAGCATGTCCGAGATGTAAGTCTATCCCTCCCCAACCTGACGCCATCCTGACGTCATCAATAGCTGGAAGACAAAGTAGCAGCGTTGGAAGCCAAGAACCAGTTGACGGAGCAGGAGAACGAGAACCTTCGCGATCTACTCACGCGTCTACAGAGCGAGAACATGATGCTCAAGCAGGCGGCGTTCACCTTCACGGCTTCTCGACCCAATAACGCAGGCAACAACCACAATGTTTTCAATAACAACAACAGCTCAAACGCCTTTAGCTTCTCGTCTCCGGGCGCCGGCCCCAGCAAGTCTCCGATGCAGACGCAGTCCCCCCCGTCGCAGTACGATCTGAACTTCAACTCCCTCATTTCGTTTGATCCGAGTATGTTGAACCCTGCGGACGAGTTGCAAGACGTAAACATGGACGACCCGTTCTCCTTCGATCATGAGTACAAGACCATCGCGAGCAACCCCCTATTTACGTCCTTCGTTGAGCCGTCGCCCGCAGACAGCCCCCCAATCCTGATGAATGGCGGGCAACAGTACGTTCCGGCTCCTTTCGAGTCAACGTTCGTGGAGCAATGGACGCCCTCCGATTCCCAGAGTAGCGGACAAGATGCTCTCGAGCAGTTGTTTGGAGGGAGCTTCCTCGGGAACGGTAACGGCAACTCGACTTCGGCTGACTACCATGCGCTCTTGGCAAGTCCGCCCAGCTCGCTTTCCCCTGTATCCCACCGCACGCCTTCACTATCCTCGTCCTCATCATCACCATCAGGCGCAGCCAACACGGGCAGTCCGTCAACAGCAGCGCACAGTCCACAGGCGGGCGCATCGGGTACTGGCAACAATGAGCAGTGTCCGAAGACGAAGCAGCAGCTTGAGAAAGCCATAGCGAGCGCTGGACAGTCGAGCTTCGTTCAGACGCCGCCGTTCCTACAGAACGGAACGTCGTCATCGCCGGCCTCTGACGAGCAGCAGGGCGACTCGTGCGACATGCCGATTGCTCCCTTCCTACGGAAGGCGACGGGCGGGGATGGCGGCACGCCGTTCGTGATGTGCAAGGGCTCAAGCTTCCCGAAGACGCAGAAGAGCGACAAGAATATCGAGGTGCTCACTGCTTGGCGGACGATCACGTCTAACCCCCAGTTCAAGGTTGGTGTGTTCGCGTTTGAGACGCACGATATGGGAACTGACATATCTTGAATGGGCCCAGGACGTGGACATCAACGAGTTGTGTACCGAGTTCACAAGCAAGGCACGCTGCGACGGCACGAAGGTCGTGCTTGAGCCTGAGGGTGTCCATCATATCATCGAGACACTCGCGGCGAGGCAGGCGGCGAACCAGACGAAGCATTGACGGCCAGGTCATACCCTCCCGCATCCCCGCGTCGTTTGCGCCGTGGTCGCATCGTGGTGGGCTGTCCTGCCATAGGCCGTCTTGGTTGTCGTCTTCACTCTCCGACCGCACTTGCTTGATGGTTCCGCTCCAGTGTTCACGACAACCTGCATGCGGCGCACGCCGGCCTACGCTCATATCACGTCTCTGCATCACATCGACTTCGTACGCATACCGCATCTCCCAGAGACGATCTCGATGGTTTGTTTCAATATCGCATCATCAGCACTCATGCCCCCTCCCCCTCCCCATTCTCCCATTCCCACTGCGCACGAGCAACTAATCGGCATTACACGGACAGACTGGACTACGTGGAGCGATACGACGACGGAGTGACGAGAATAGTGCGCGATGGTGGCGCGGATCTGGATGCCGAGATGGGAAGCATCAGAAGGCTAGGTCGGGGGAGCGAAGGAGAACGCCCCAAGATCCGGATTCGTTTGGGCAGTCTTCGGGCCAGGGACGCTTCGGCGCGTCTTCTCGTGGGGCCGCGCCCACGGCTCTGCACGGCAGCAGGTCAGGCGACCATCGTCTGTGTACGCAGGCGGGAGATCGAGCACTGTTCACCCGCTCGTCGTGTGTTCTGTCTCCTGGAACCGGCCGCCGGATGCCTCAATGTCGGTGGCGAGCGACAACTGCTGCAAGGCGTGCTCCTGCGCGTCTCGACCTCGTTCTCCCTTCCAGCACTTCTTATCCTCTCTCGCGTCGCTTCGTCTCTGGTCGGATATCCGCATCTGTCCATCGTCGTCTGTTCATCGTCTCGCCCGTCTATTCCAGTGTTGCTCCATTGTCCATTCGTCCAATGTCTCGTTGCTGCTATCACTTTTGTCCCCATCCCGTGTCACGCCCCATACGTACAGTGCTATAGCCTCCCAGCTTTCGCCTTCGTCCAGGTCGCCGCTGTCCCGGTGTTTCCTCCGTGTATTATGCCTTCTATATCGTTACCGTACCGTACCGTAGTCGTCCCAGTATCAAGTATCGTCTTGCTGCAGTAGAAAGAATTCATAACTCTAACTCGAAACTCCATTCGAACCCGTGTTGTTGTTGCCGTTGCGGACAATAAGTTCACGCTCATACCATCCCTCCACTCATGATCATTTCTAAGGGGCTCTAAAGGGCTCAGGCTATGTGCTTATGCGCTGTATTCATTATTTATTGAGAACGATGTGTTGTCGGCCCCGCGGATTGCTTGTGATCGTCATGCTAGTATCGGAACGATCATCGCTGTACATACTCGCACACAATAAGCTCGAGGTTCTCGCTCGCACGTTTCTCAGTGGACCCGGCAGAGAACACGATAGCGATAGAACACTTCTGAATTCATTCTCTAATGTCAAGTCAGATACCAAAAGGCCATTTCGAAGCCGTCTCTAATTCTCCGGACGCTCAGATCTGCTACCGCGTCGCCGGGGAGGGGAATCGTTGGCCCTCCCGTGCAGCTGTAGCACACGCTACCATTGTGCAGATTCACGCAGGGAACCATGCGTGGGGAAGAGCGCGGGGCGGTGCGGCATCGTTCTTCCAAAGGCGAGTGGACCGTGAACTTTGGACGGCGGCGGACGTGCTTCTCGCGTCGTTGCTGCGGTCCGAATATTGAGATGTGTGTGCGACCAGGCACCAGCGTACGGTGCGGGTAACAGACTTCATATTCATAGGCACGAGCAGCGCTGTAGAGCCCGGGCTTCCATTAGAACGTCTGCATTCGGACTTGCTATATGTGGAGAGCTCGAGCAGAGTAGGGGGGGCACGCAGACTGTATTGCGAGGGATCGCGATAATGGAGATCGTGGTATTGACGGGACACCTGGGATGTGGAGCGGGAAAGCCGTAAGTACAGGGGAGCGTGTGTGTATTATATGGTACGGTGCCCGTAGCTTGATGTTCCCAACGCCACCGTTCGAAAGTGGCAGCAGGAGCACTCAACCCACCATGTACTGTGCGAGTAGTTAGGATGCCTTGGTCTTCACCGCTGACGTCGACGCCGACGACGGCTGGCCAAAGTAGTACCGCGTCCGGCCGATGCCCAGGAACCATGCGATTCTGCATGCGAAGTGAGCGAGGGCCAGGCCCCATGACGGTCAGTATGAGTCTACTCGATGGGGCCCTCGCTCCCTTCGCTCCCCTCGAGGGGCAGAAGAAGCAAGGGTGCGGGGAGAGTAGGATGTACAGACCTCATGCCGAGGAGGAAGATGACGAAAGTGATGTTGCCGTGCGTCATCGAGTTCCAGCGCGCCAAGTCGTACTTGAGGTCGTCAGGGAGGCCGACCCACGACCAAATGATGCTACGAGAACAGAACAAGGTGAGTCAGGAATGGGGTTCGCCCTCATGTGCGGAAATATGGGCCGTACTGCGTCACCTGCAGTCAACCGTCAGCGTACGTGCCCATCTACATCACTATGCGAAAAAAGGAGCGCTGACATCTGCAAGCGCCAGTGCGGTGAAACTTGCACCCATGATGCGCTCTTGCGCGACTGGATTGTCCGGGAGTGCATCCCGGACGGCACGGAATACGAAACTAGAAATCATGCCCAATAGTAGGTAGCCTATGTGGGGACATCTGAGCTTATGGAGACGCATGTTAAACGAAAGCTACGCACAATTGCCAAGCTGCCAGATGGCCATTGTAGTCCTTGCGTCCGAAAGCGCGGCAGGAACAGGTGTCCCGTCTGGGATGAGTTGATTGTGGAACCATGCCGCTCCAGGCGACAGCCATGCCATGACCGCAGGCATTATAGTAGAGGCTACTGATACTTAGCTACTGTACAATAACAGAAGGGAATGACAGTACTCGGTTCGATATGCAAGAACAGCAGCTGGTAGAACCCAGGAAGGGCAGGAAAATCGGAGATGAGCGGCATCTGTGCTACAACTGGGTCAGCCAACTGCAAACTCGGAGCTCCAGAGTACATCAAGGATGCAAACTACCTTTTCAGAGCTGACTGAGTCTTAGAGGGTGCCGTAGACCGCCACGAGGATGTTGCGCACTCGGTGGGAACAGTACTTGCAAGCGGTCGCGTACTACTGCGCGACTCCGGACAGGTCGGGGTGGGAAGTAACCCAGGATCTAATCTAATCTGAGCTGCCCTCGATGTCTTGATCTGAATCTGGATTGTCGAGTGCACCGTTCGCAAAGGAGTCATCTCATAAAAGCTCCCTCAAGTCCTCGGTGTCCCGTGCACAGACTACTCGACACCCTTGACACCGCTTCACGCCATCGTGCACAGGCGACCACAAAATACCGACCAGATCGGACCACTGGCGAAGAACGGACGCGCCGCACACAGTATAACGCCTCGGACTTTTCATTTGCGAGGTCCCCAGCCTACCTACCTCCCCCGCAGCCGCCTTCTACACCTTATATCGAGGTGCGGTCCATACGCACTGCGCTCTGCCAGCTTCTCATCTGTCGTTTCAAAGATGTCCACCTTCGGTAGCCTTTTCCGTGTTACGACTTACGGAGAGTCACATTGCGCCTCCGTCGGAGCTATCATCGACGGCTGTCCTCCGGTATGTACCCGTTCTACATCTGAAGTGACCTGCAAAGTAGCTCAACCTCGCAACAGGGCTTGCCCTTGACCGAACAAGACGTGCAAGTGCAGCTGAGCCGCAGACGTCCAGGGCAGAGCAACCTCACCACCCCCGTACGTTCACTTGGTCTCTGAAGGCAGAGCGTCTCATCCAACAGAATGGCACCACGCAGAGAGACGAGAAGGATCTCGTCCACCTCCAGTCCGGAATCGAGCATGGGGTCACGCTCGGCACGCCCATTGGCCTGCTCGTCCGGAACGAGGACCAGCGCCCGAAGGACTACTCCGAGACCGATCTCTACCCGCGTCCGAGTCATGCGGACTGGACGTATCTTGAGAAGTATGGCGTGAAAGCGAGCAGTGGGGGAGGGCGGAGCAGTGCGCGTGAGACGATCGGTGAGCATCGTACGTTTTGCGTGCAAATTGGCTTGTACGATTGACGCACCCCAGGCAGAGTTGCCGCTGGCGCGATCGCGGAAAAGTACCTTAAGCTCGCGTACGGCATCGAGATCGTCGCGTTCGTGTCGTCTGTAGGCAAGGTCCAGCTTCCCTCTGCAATCTCGCCACCTTCCCAGGTCCCCGCAGAAGATGAGGACACGGTGGAAGATGCGCTGAGCCCCGAGTTTGTCGAACTTCTCAACACCGTCACTCGTGAGCAGGTCGACGCGCAAATGACCCGCTGTCCACACGCAGAGACGTCCGAACGCATGGTCAAGGTGTGCACCTTCCTACTACCCCCAGCACGCGTATGCTCACATCATGCACATCTGCAGCGCATCCTCCGTGCCAAGGAAGCCAACGACTCCATCGGCGGCACCGTCACCTGCGTGATCCGCAACGTCCCCTCCGGCATCGGCGAGCCCGTCTTCGACAAGCTCGAGGCCAAGCTCGCACACGCCATGCTCTCCATCCCCGCCACTAAGGCGTTCGAGATCGGCTCAGGCTTCCGCGGCACGCAGGTGCCCGGCTCGAAGCACAACGACGCGTTCGTGCAGCGCCCCGATGGGCGCATGGGCACCCGCACGAACTGGAGCGGGGGCGTCCAGGGCGGGATCAGCAACGGGGAGGACGTCTACTTCCGGATCGGGTTCAAGAGCCCCGCGACGATCTCGCAGGAGCAGGAGACGGCGCAGTACGACGGCACCCCGGGGACGCTCGCCGCGAGGGGGAGGCACGACCCGTGCGTCGTGCCCCGCGCGGTGCCCATCGTGGAGGCGATGGCGGCGCTGGTGATCATGGACCAGGTATTGATCCAGAATGCGAGGAAGACGGCGAGCGCGCTCCTTCCGCCTATCACGACGCTGCCACCGACTATGGTTAAGAACGTCAAGCCGGCGGCGAGCGAGGAGCAGAAGCAATGAGCAGATTTGATCCTGTAGAGTAGTCTCATTGAGAGAGAGAGCAATCTTGTTGTACTTGTCCCATGAGAAGTGTTCATGGGTATCTGTCCTGCTAAGTGCGGTAGAATACAATGGCGAGGCACATCAAGTGGGCTGTTCGGTAAACCTACAATCACAGAACGACCAAAATGGTGAACGACGACGCGAGAAGAACTTCATATGGATCGTACATGTGCGGGATCATGGATATGATATATGAGTGGTGGGTGGGATGGAGCATAGCATGAAGATGGTATCGAGAAGAAGGTTAACCTAGGAGTTAGAACTCCTCGTAATCTGAATCGTCAGAACAACAACAGCATAGTACAGGCTCGACGTGCCACCACCACCACTAGAGACACCTCAGCACGAGAGCAAGAACACACGGGCGTGAGCACTCACATGGCGATTGAATATTCTCCATGGCCACTTTCCAAATACTGCTTCTTCCTCCCGCCGCAACGCTGATGCACGCATGGTCCGTTCGTCCTCGCTCATCGCCTGAGACTCCTCGTCCTCCGATTCGGGATGCACCGCTCCAGCCGGAGGACGAAGCAACGGCGTTCGTTCGTTATACCCTCTCGCACCCTTCGTACCTCCTCGCCTTCTCCCCACGCCATTCTGTGCCCCGTTCGCCTGCCTCTCCGTAGTCTGCAACTGGACTTGAGTCTTCCTTTGCCATCCCCCGCCAGCCGCCGCATATGCGCTGAGCCGCTTCCCGATCGGGCCCCACGCCCCATTATCGTCCGCCTGGTAGCGCAGTGGTGCAGAGATCGACGACGAAGGGGAGTCTGAGGTGCTTGAGCCTGGAGTAGAGCCGCCCGCCATGCTTGCATGGTGCCGGTTTCGGTGGGTGCCTGACGTGATGCGCACCCGCGAGCGGAAGCGCACCCGCAATGGCGGGCGCACCGTGCCATTCCCTTCCCCCGTCGGCGGCTGCGACGCGCTCCTCGTTTGCCCCACGCCCTCTCCCTCCTCGTCCTCTCCCTCCCCCTCAAAGTCCCCATCGGTCCCGGGCTCTGCGCCATGCTCAGATTCATCCCCGACAATAATGAGCGAGGACGGGGTCGCCGAGCGGGGCGCAGAGGGGTCCTCGTCGATGAGGTGGAGGGCGTTCCCGGGCACGATACATGGCTTAGGCGAGGTGCTCTCGAGGGCGAGCTTGTGGTCCGTCGAGTACAGGACGTCGATGGGCGAGCTGGGGAGGTCGAGCGTCATGCGCCGCGCGCGGGGCGCGGAGATAAGAGCCGGGGGCATCGCGCGGGCGTCGCCGTGGGAGGGGTCCGACTGGTCGTCGCTGGACGGGTTGGCGGGAGCTCTGGTCAGGTCCTCGCTGATGTGGATGGAGGGTGGTCGCCCGTCTGGCTCTGCCGCTGTTGCTGTCGCTATGTGGGAGTCCGGCTGCAGCTGGGCATTGGGGTGATTGAGAGCGGACGCGAGCCCGTCCTGTGCGTCGATGCTTAGGTTAACGGTGGGCTCTCTGGGGTTGCTGCCATTTCGCGCGTGCAAGCCTGGAGGCCCGTGTGCTGGAGGTGGAGAGAGGGACGTGCATACCAAAGGGATATACGTAAGATGAAAAGCTCGTGCTGGCCCAGCCAGACCCACAGGGTCGGGGTTCACATAAACGCGGAGCACGCACCGGAGAGCAAGATAGATCGTATTGCCCTCGGCTCTCTCGAACTCGTATTACGCCTTGCAGGGTCGTTGAGGCTCATGTTCACGTTACTGTTCGCGGGAAGGGTGCTCGTCATGGCCGCGCGCGGAGCGAGTTCCTGAGGGAGTCATGGACGTCGGGATGAAGATCACGGTAGAGGGCCAACTGAGAAGTGGATGCGGACACTGCACCCAGATGCGTCGCCTAGCTCGCAGCTCGATGCAGCCACGCTATCATCTATGTTCTAGCCTGACTGCTGAATACTGACGTCGTTCGCAGGGTCGGTCGGCTGACCTGCAATGAATGATGGTCACAGTACTCGCACGCAATATACTCCGATACAGGCGCGGCTTTCGTAACTCGCAGCAAGAGATGCAGCTGCAGCTTCAGACCGGGCTTCCAGGCTGGCCGAAGAACACGGGCATCACGGAGCAGCCTTCCGAGCATTGGCATGAGAATATCTGTATCCTAGCTCGTCCGAGAAGAAGACTGCATCTATTCGTCCGCAAAGCTATCTAGAATCTCACGAATCGCCAGGGTGACGGAGGATGCGTCGAACTGCGGCAGCTGGGACCTTTCGTCTATCGGCCCCTCTACTTCAATACACCGCACCCCCAAATACTGTGAGTAGAGAACTTAGGCTCGGCAAAATAGAAGGGAATGTGCGTCGACGTACGGTGATCTGGGATATGTCAACCTCGACTGCAGTACCCTTCAGGTAGACAAGGTGCGTGATGAAAGCTGAGATGGGCCACGTCGTATCAGCCTTGCTGAGGCCCCCATACGTCTTCGCGTGATGACCGTCGTTCAACGTTCGTGCGACGATGCTGATAAGAACGCGCATACGGAGAGTTGGCATTCCCTAGTCGGATCAGAAGCGAGTAGCTTACCGAATGTAGTCCACGGCGCTGTACCCATCGGTTTCTCGATCGTTAGTCGAGTTTACTACCATGAGGTCAGCCGAAGCCAAATAGATCAGAGAAGCTCAAACGCACAAAGAAGCACCTTCGCCTTCAATGATCGCGAACCGGCAATAGCATTCGCAACGCCTTTCAGAGCGAGGCAGGGGATGATGCTGGAATCATGGCTCAGGACGGTATGTCATCGATACGCATCTCTCGTGACAAACCTTGTCCAGAGAGACCCACATGAGTACACCAGCACGTTGTATCGCGACATAGAATACAAATAGTCAGGATTCGGCGAGGGATGGATCTCATTCCCGTATGCATTGATGTAGAATAACCCTGCTATACCGTCAATTGCAGTACCACATCTAGCAACGATGTGCTTACTGCTAATGCGCGCGTTGAGAGGCTCATAGTCGTTCTTCCCTTCCGCCTCGAATAGGACGTTGCGACTGCGAGGTAGTGTTCCGTCCAATGGGTCGACCGCCGCATCGTCTTCTCCGTATACGCTTATGCGAGGTGCTTGTCGGACAGGATGAGAAATCTCGCATTGCCCGACCAGTCGCTCCCCGTTGTCCTAGGATGAGATGAGCTCGCATGATGGTCCCAGGGTGAATGGTTGACTAGCGAACCAGTTCTGCGGCGATAGTGACCGTATGGTTCGTTACGATCACAGGCAAGATGTTCGCCTCGCTGCTCGTGATAGAAGAGAAGAGGAATATAGCGGAAGGAAGCGAGTGGAAGAAGAGCTGCGCAGCGGAAAGGAAGTAATTGCCGATGCTAAGCTGCGGGATGAGGATTCGCCCTTCACCCATCTATCTATCATGACTGACCTTCCGTTCACGAACGAAAAGTTCTTATGCGCCCGCGACAGAATCTCGTGCTCAAAACGGACAAGAAAGGCTACGAGATGGGTCAAGGCCATGTCGCACGCACAGGCCCTCTCAGACATACCTCTGATCATTTCCTTGCGATCATTGGGAATGCCCGTCCATAGTCGGCTGCGGCCCTCTACAATGTCCCTCCATTCATCACGCGCTTCCTGTTCAGTGCACTTTGCAGGGAGGCGGTACGCTAAGAGGTTGCGAATGGCGTCTAGAGGTGCGCCAGGCCTCGCAGGAGGTATCAGGCGAACGAGCCTCGAGCGGATGTCACCTGCATGAATACTCAACTGATGCCCGGGTGACCGTATTCATGCTCACATACCAATCGATGGTCCGCCCAAGACGCGAATGATTTCACTTGAAGAACCTCCGTCGTCCGAGACTGGGAGAATGTAACAGGCCGAACGGCCAAACGCGGGACAGATGGAGTTGCATCCCGTACCACCAGATATGACTACGAAAGATGTTTCACCAGAAAGCGACGTCAGAAGCCCTGTTGATTTTCCAGTAGCCACACTGGATGATCTATCTGGTGTCGCATGGGCAGGACCGGGCTGGGTGGGAAGGTCGAACACAGAGGACCCAGGGCTATCCGCGCCGGAGTTGCGAGGGTTTGGGGAAAGTGCGAAGTAGCTCATGGCTCAGGTAAATCTTACCGTGCGCATGCACCCTTCACAATGGTTTATAAGGCGTGGAAGCGGAGATAGTGGAAGGCTGGTAGAAGGAGCTCTTAATTCGACCATGATCGTAGAACGGAAGCAAGTGCGCGCGCCGTGCATAACATGCGCGCTAAAGCCACCCACGACGACGGACGTGTCGAGAACGTGGATCTACGCGTCCTCTCTCACTAGTGTTGCCGCCAATTCGAGTCAGCCAAGCCAAGCCAGTGGGGCTTGATCAAGTGGGGCAAGCCAGCCGGATCCAGCCGAGCCGGCATCCAGCTGATTCGTAGCCAGCTGCCCAGCTCGCGCCCAGCTCCAGCTTGATGGGCTGACCGGCTGGCAAGCTACGCGCCTTATATGGAACTCAGATGCGCGCAGCTTCGAATGTGAGTGGACGGAAAGAGACAAGCCATATATACATTATAAGTTATGTACAGAACGACTGCTAATGGTGAGGAAATTGTGCAGAAGACGGGCAAAGCAAAAAATTGACGGGATACAAGAGTCACATCTCGCCTTCTGTGTCAGGATCATTCAAGGTGAGCTCCTCAATGCGGGTAACAAAGTTCCCCATGAGGTCCAGTCACTCCTGTTTGTACCGGAACTACAAGACTTGAAGGGCCTCCATGAGTACTCGGACTCCATCTCCTCGCGAAATAAGGGTGAAACCGCCG